AACCTGCAGACGAACTCGGAAAGCGTATTCTGCTGAACGCTCCCGAAGTGCAAAGAATCATGGAAGAAGACAACTAAACTCGTCAGGTTGTGCGCATATATTGGGTTCCGCATCGAGGACGTGATCCGAGATTACAGACTCCCTTTGACCTTGTTGGAACGTCCATTATTGCCGGAGGATTTGTGCCGACTCGAATCTACATGACAAGCTCCAAGTTATTAAGCTTCAATGCGCATGTGGGTGACGTGGCATTCTAAGTGAAAGCGCAAGGCATCGCGCTAAGACGCGTTTCTATATTTATATCATTGATTGGAGCGATATCTGCGCCCGAGAGATGCCGAACCAATTCTCACTCGGTTTATCTCAACAAGGGAGTTGTTTATGAACGAGGATGTCGCGAGCCGAGTATTTTTATGGTGGTGGTAATAGCTGACTACGATAATTTGCAATAACGAAGAGGGAAAGCAAGAAGTTATGCATGGACAGCATACATTCACCAGTTGCTATTAATATGTACTAATCGAAGCTTTAGAGAACCTCCGAATACTCGTGTTATTCGGATTGGAACATTCGGTACCCAACACTTCAGGTTGTGAAGGTATCTCTACATGAAGAAGTGAACATTAATCAGGGATAGGGGGCAATTGTGGGCATCACGGCATAGTGGCGTTCATGTATACGAAGACAAGCAAGCATATTACGGGGCGTAATGGTCACTTTGTAGGAGTAAGGCAGCCAATAGCATATCAATGATATTAAAAAGTTTCGCTAAATATGAATTATACTCATTACAAAGTACATAGCCAGCAGTTTGGCGCATCAAGAATGCGAATGGTATTCAAGTGTGCATAATGTGTAACTCAAGTTACCTTAGGTACCTAACCTACCTAAGTACCTAAGGTTTTAAGGTTACCTACCTCCTAGGTAACAGGCCACTACCTAGGTACGTAGGTAGGATGTACCTTCCTCATACATTTATGTGGTAAGGATGTCATGTACCTAATGTAATTAAACTCAAAGCATGGGCCATTACCCATTACGTACCTTAGGTACCTAAGGAAGGTCGGACCAGCTACGGGTCAGTTGGTGATCTCTTAGGAAACGTAACTGCCTTGGGTCTCTCTAAAGTTAAAAGAAAACAAAATTCAAACGTGGCTGCGTTTACCAAAGGTACCAAACCAACGGTTAGGTAAGATAACAACATCAACAGTCGGACTTTGGCCACTATTTTACTATTCTAGGTTAGCGAGCTGTGCATAACTACAACCAGCCATAACCATAACCATAATGTCCACCATGTCGGACTATGATTCTGGAGATGACCTATTAGGAGACATAGATGCGGACAACTTGATTACAGGGATCAAGCGCGGGCGTTCTCCCGACGACGAACAGAATCATCAAGCTCGACCAACAAAACAACTCAAAGTACAAGACACAGAACGCAATAGCATAGAATTCCTCGGGGATACTGCTAAGACGATCCTAAAAGAAAAGTTTGGTTATGAAGACTTCCGCCACGAGCAGTTCTCTGCTATTGTATCCATTTTACGGGGGGAGAATGTGCTCGTCGTCTTTCCTACGGGCGCCGGCAAATCGCTCTGTTATCAAGTTGAGTTATTCCTTCTCGGTTAAGATTAACATGCTGACATTTGCTTGCTTCGTTCAAAGATCCCCGCAGTTGCCTTTGAAAAGATAGATGGCGTGGATAGTAACAAAGCTCGCACCGATCCGGGCATAACCATCGTTGTTTCTCCCCTGATTGCTCTCATGAAGGATCAAGTAGACACCCTACTGCGTAAAGGTGTCGCTGCAGCTTGTCTGGACTCTACCAAAACCTACGAACAGCAGAAACAGATAAAGGCTGGCATCAGAGAGGGCCAGCTGAAACTACTCTACTGCGCGCCCGAGAGACTCAATAATGAGGGTTTCGTCGAAAGTATGAAGCATGTTCCTGGAGGCATTCGACTGGTCGCCGTCGATGAGGCTCATTGTATTTCAGAATGGGGACACTCTTTTCGTCCGGACTATCTCAAGGTGGCCCGTTTTGTCCAAGAAATCAACGCCGAAAGGGTCATCTGCCTCACAGCTACAGCAACACCTCTCGTTATTGATGATGTAGCAAGGGCATTCGACATTAAGAAATCCAATGTATTTCGCACTTCTCCCTACAGGCCTAATCTACACTTACTAGCCGAATACACGGGAACGAAGCAGGACAAGTACCCAAAGATGTTCCATTTCTTGCGAGAACATCCCGGGCCTACTCTCGTCTATGTGACTCTCCAGAAGCAAGCTGAATTGCTTGCGGATGACCTAACCGAGCAAGGCTTCAACGCAGTTGCATTTCATGCCGGCCTCAAGGCAGAAACAAAGGCGCAAATCCAAGATGACTTTATGGCCGATAGTATAACCATAGTTGTCGCTACAATTGCCTTCGGCATGGGCATTGACAAGGCCAACATACGAAATGTCATTCATTTCGATCTCTCCAGCACGGTAGAAGAATATTCGCAGCAGATCGGGCGCGCGGGAAGAGATGGGAAAACAAGTCATTGTATGTTTTACATCTGTCCCTATGACTTTTACCTAAGAGAGAACTTTGCTCGAGGCGACCTGCCATCACGCCAATCACTACGTCGGTTGCTAGAGGATATATTCCACCGAGAAGTTGATCGCACGCAAGAGGGCGATATTATCAGACTCAATCAGACAGCCTTAGGTAGAGACTACGACATCCGAGCGAGTCCCCTAGCCATCTTGCTAGCGACACTGGAGCTTCGGTTTGGCCTGGTCAGGTCAGTTACTCCAGAATATACTTCGTACAAGTTCGAAGCAATGCCGAATTATCATTACACCGCTAAAGGGGACTCTTCTCCTGAGGGTAGAGCCATCTACAAGTACGCCAGCAAGGCTAAGTTCGGTAAGCTGTACGATCTCGATATAGTTGATGTCGTGAAGTCAACTGGACTACTCCGTACCGACGTAGTAAGGAAGCTCGAGGAGTACAACGATACTGGAATCATTATGCTCAAAAAGAGCGGTATTGAAAACAAGCTTAGAGTTCTTAAGACTCTTCCTCGCACTCCACAAGAAATCAAAGCCATCACCGATAAGCTCTACGTCGATATGGAGGCTCGAGAGGAGGATGCGTTGCAGCGAACACAGCAAGTAGCTGATCTAATCACAGGCGACAGATGCTTCGCTCTAGCTCTAGCTGAGCATTTTGGAATGGGATTACCTGACGGGAAAACCAGATGCGGACATTGCTCTCGCTGTCTAACAGGGAGACGCATCATATTACCTCCGAAGCCAACCCCGGCTGTCGACACTGCTGGCATTCAAAAGATTCTTGATGTCTGCCATGTACGGGACGATCCGAGGTTTTTAGCGCGCGTCGCTTTCGGGATCAAAAGCCCCCGGGTGATGCAGCTTAAACTCCACCAGAAGCGCATATTTATGTCGTTAGCAGACCATGATTTCAAGGTACGTTGTCGGATCTGATATATTGTTCTGGTTAAGTGAGTACCTAATCGAGCTAACAATTTGTAACCTAGTCCTTGTTAAAAGAGTTCACTCGAGCATGTGAGTTGGCGGGATTTAAGTCAGAAGACAGTTGAAGTCTGCGATGTCCGTTTTCTTGTGGAAGAAAAAAAACGATTTGGAGTGGGTGTCGGGGCGCATAGGATACAAGCCGATCGGGTCTCACTTATTGATGTAGATGTTTTTTTTCCCCCTAATCGAGGACCAGGTGATCGATCTAGAGAAGAGGCACTATCTGAGAAGAGGCTCTAGCGAAAACGTCAAAGAGTACGTCTTCATGGTCTACATGCAGGGGTTCACTTGCTAGATAGGCAATCCATGTCGAATATGTCACCATGTCAAGACCATGTTCCTTTATTGTGAGTGCATGCGTCGTATTACCCTTTATCTAGTATCGGTGCCATCAAGCCAGCCAATCAAACAGACATCATTGGCCATATAAGGAATCCTACATAGTGTTACGTCCAACTCGAGTACCCGTTGTGGATAAACCCAAGATAATGTCACGTCGACCGGGATATCCGACTCCGCTGCATATCATGACAAGTACTTTGACACCAGATCTTAGTTGTAGAATAGGAAGGACGGGAAAGACACTACCTAGATCGTAAGATTATAAGAAGGGTGATTTTATCCGGGCTCAGGAGCCAGTAATATGATAATGATAAAACTGCCAATAGATCCGTACCCTCGGAGGGGATGGCAGATACGTTCGCTATACTTCGTTTTCTTCTTAGAAACACGAATCGACAATGCCTCGCCCGTGCCATCTCCTCCTAGCGCTACCGTTTGCGCAATCGTTCGTCCAAGCAGGGTCCAGCCAGGAATTATCATCCTCCAAAAAGGCACAGTCATGTACCGAAGCATCGACAACGACATTTTCACTTAAAGGTGCAATTTATGTTAGGGTAGAAACATCCCCATATGCTATTGATGCATTTCCCAATTCGACGCAACTTGCATTCGAGGTGGTTAACAATGCCAACGGTGTCTCAACTGGCTGCAGCCTGCAAAACGTCGAGCACGACAACGTGTGGCCGGACCTTAGCAATTATTGGTTTAAATGTTCAGACCGAAACTACGAGGTAGACGGATCCGAGTACCCCATAAGCACCGGCGCAAACTTCCTTTGGGATGACAGCTGGAAATTAAGAGTAAACCAGACCTGGAACTGCGATGGCCGGTACGCTTGTTTCCGCATTCTTTCCGCATCCTTTCACCTGTACCCTTTTCTACTTCTTACCTACTGCGGGCTGTCAGTGATAGTTGCGTGACATGAACACTACTAAGTATTAATCTAGAACTGTTGTGAGACAAGTTGCTACCGCGACACTTACGCCGGACTGCAAAGAGACTTCTTCCCCTCAGCAGTATATAAAGAATTGCGATATCTCTGATACCGAGGTCCCGGCAACGAATCAGTAACGGGATTCATTAATCGATGTTGCCATTCTACTTCATATCGTGAAGATCCCCATATATAAGCCTATTCAAGTACATAATGCCAATTGTACATTTTCCGTTTTGCTACCGGTCCCGTTCCATATCCATCCATACAGTCGTGAGATTATAACCAGAAAAGCTCACAAGCTCCCCAAAATATAAGAAGTAGAAGTAGAAGGGGAAGGGGAAGAAAGAGCCCTAGGGAGTACCTTGCTGCGCTAGGGTTGACCAAAAGACGCCAATTTTATTTCTGGTTTGCTCAATGCCACCTTGAACCACGAAGCTGGCCTGCTTAGCTACATCGACTAGCCAGGTCACGCCACGGTATGCTCCATACGCTCCTATGAGCGCTACGAAAAACCAGAAGAGTATCTTTATTCTCCTCCAGGCTCTCTCCGAGTCGAACGGTTCCGGAGGTGCCGAGCTCTGGTATCCGGCCTGGGCCGAGGTTCTGTACGTGTATGGCGGGTTATTGTTTGAATAGCTACCTGGATAGCTAGGATTTGAACTGCGAGAATATGTGTACGATGATTGGGCGAGCAGTGGTTCTCGTTCGCTCCGAGCAGCAGTACGAACGTACTGGGATGGTTTCGTATTCGTGGTCGGCACATAGTGGGCGCGGGGCGGGCTCACTGCAGCACTTTCCAAGCGTCTCTGAGCAGACACGTACTCGCCATAGCTACCGCTACGCTCCCGAGCAATAGGCACGGGTTGACCGTACCCCCATACACGACTAGGAGAAGAGACTGTATTCAAGGAGGGGTGAGGAGCCGGAGGTGTGAACTTGGCATATTTGATAAGTTCTTGGTATGATTTGCGCGACAGAATATACTCAGGTCCTCGACGCTCGTAGGGCCGTAGGGAAGCGATCTGAATGCGGTACTGCGTCTTCGTCTTGACGTAAGATTTCTTCCGCAGCACGAGTGTCACATCCTCGAGACTGAGGAGCATTCCATTGTCTGGATGCGGGTGGCTTGGCCGGATAGGGATGTGTTCAAGCCTAAGATTCTGATCATGCTTAAAGCGAGTCTTGAGCTCTTTCCCCTTTAGTGACGTGATCTAAATTTCGGTCGTTAGAATGAAGTAGTCACGTAGATAGCATCGAGACTACAGGTCCCTTGTATCAAGAGGACATACCATGAGATATACCACATTTCCATCTTCTGCCTGTGGTGAGAGGATTACCACCGGATGGTTGCATCGGTCCGCCTCAACGTCAGACCCGCAGTCCTCTCGTAACTCAGGCTTAGGCGGTAGCCATAGTATACACCCTGCTAGCTGCTGATGCGGCCGTGGCGTGGCGATCTCACGGGGCTCGCGTGGTCTACGAACTGAAGTTGCCGTTACCGACGATGCTGTCACGCCGGGCATTTATACCTTGGAGAGATGCCGGGTCAAGCCAGCCCCCCGGACAGTAATTTATAGATAAGTAGTTGTAGGTGGTGCTTTTCGGCTACGGTGACAAGGGAAGCTCCATGTTCTTTTAACTCGTAAAGCTAGGCGGGGTGATGTGGTATTTTGGGGATCGAGAATTCAGCCTGGGCACCTATGAGAAGTGGACGCGAGGACCTCGTCTGGCATGCGGTGCGACCAATCTCGGCGGTCCTTCGACCTCCAATACGTTGAATTTACACGCACAGCCACGTGTTGCCAACCATATAGAGGGCAGCGGGAATTAGAACGAAGCAGAGCCTCGCGCGAAACCGGCAACCATTTATATCAAACCTTTTCTTTACTTGGCAGAATACTAAGAAAATACAACTTAGAGTATTGTTATCAGAGTCGTAAATGATCAGAAATGGAAGCGAAATGCATTTAGAAAGCTAGCCTGGGTTTCATTTACCCCTATTGTTGGTATATGCTCTCGATCTACCTACACTGTTGCTTCTGAGCTACTACTGCTAAAGCGAGCTACTTGTACAATATAAACAGCTAATCTATTGTCGGCGTTTCAATATTAATCGGAATCGCATTCTCATTGTTTTTCTAACTAGATCATAGGCTACTACCTACCTACCTCTACCTAGGTAATGACTCAACCTTGAAACCTTTTATTATAACTAGACGCATATACCTACCTACCTATATAGTGTGCTTCAATTGATGTAAGGCTGCTTACCTAGGTAGGTTAGTGGTATTGCGTTCTTTTAATCGAACAGAATTTACCATGTAGAATATGACATTCGCTAGGTAACAACAACTTTGATATACTTCGTAGAGATGCAGAACCCTCAACTTATTGAGTCTCTTCTTGTTCCTTTGTCCGTATATGTGCATGCGTCTGTTAATAGGTATAACTGTGATGCCTATCAAGTATCCTTTCAAGAATAGAATATTTAGTTCGTACCATCAGATAGACTTTACTCAAGAACGTTCAAGTACACGTTGCTAATTATAGTCAAAGGTTAGGTTTAGATGAACGTCGTGATCCTTACCTACCTCCAAGAAGAAAAAGAAGCTATTCAATGGACAAGACTTGATGTTAATGTGGTATAATACTAGTGTTATTAGGTACATAGTAGCTCTCTTAGCCTGGTGGTTGTTATATTGTAGTACCTGCGAGATGTTCAAGGCTAGCTTGTCTAAGATAGTACCACCCGCGCCACCAACGCGCTTCTAAGACTGTTCCATGGATGTCGATAGGCTGGATTCGAGGTTACGTGTATAAGAGAAGCCTACCGGTGTTAGGGGTGAACCAATTACCAATCTACCCCTCTCATGACTCATTAACGTAATGATGTTGGGAGGTTGGTGTACCTTATACATATAACATCTTGTTTACTATTTTGCTGTAGCTCAAGTCCACTGTGACTATCGCGGCCTCTGTCAAAATGACTCTCATAGTTCATCATCTCGGCGTTTCGCAATCGGATAGAGTCGTCTGGCTCTGCGAAGAGCTTGGCATTGACTACGAACTTAAGAAGTACGATCGATCACCTATTTGGGCCCCACCGGAGTACAAGGCCCTGCACCCCCTCGGGTCGGCTCCCGTGATCGAAGACGGGAGCATCAAACTAGCCGAGTCTGGCGCTTGTATTGAGTACATATTGCAGACTCGGGGAGATGGGAAACTAGTTGCTACGCCGGGACAAAAAGACTTCGCTGAGTATTTATACTGGTTTCGTAAGACAATTGTTTTGTCCCATTTTGTCCCATTTTGTCCCATTTTGTCCCATCATCCATGTGTAGGAAAGCTACCAGGTAGGTATGTGCTTGCGGCTGACGATAGGTCTAGATTTCGCGAATGGCACCTTACAGCCTGCGCTATTATTGGCTTTGTCACTATCCCGCACAGGGCTAGGGGAGGATAACGAGGCCGTAAAACGAAGCGACGCTAGGCGGAAGCAGGTTCTTGGGTTTATGGATCAGCGTCTATCCGAGGTACCCTGGCTCGCGGGCGAGGAGTTCACTGCGGCTGATATCATGAATGTGACTAGCCTTACGACGATGCGTTGCTTCATAAAGTACGATCTTAGTGACTATCCAAACATCCTAGCCTACCTTAAGCGCGTAGCTGCACGAGACGGGTATAGGTATGCAATGCAGAAGGGAGATCCGGATCTCAACATCGACGAATTGACTGCAGCGCCTCCCCCGCCTCTACAGAAGGCTGTTGCCGCAGTGTTTCAAGCGCATGGGCGCTGAGCTGAACAAGAAAGCCTAGGTACCTAGATAAGAGAGCCTACCTAAGACAAGTGTTGGCTTCTTAAGACATCTCCTCTCCTGTGATGGCAAAAGTCGAGTCGAGTCGAGCCACGAGACGTGTGGTAGTCAATAACCTCCCCTTTATATATAGATTCTTGTTGAGCTAGCTTGTTTACATGAGAAGTTATAAATTCAAAATAGGTAAATACCTACCTAGCCTACCTAACTCTTAGATACCGAGTGTAAAGTCCCCTCGGAGCGTAGGGGACCTACTATCTTCCGAAGCGAGAAATTGCCATAAAAAGCAGCAGTTATTATTACTGATGTTTTATGGAAAGAAAAACAAATTGTATTTGTGGGGTAGAAAACGAGAAAACGTACCAAATTTGTATTTTAAGAGATAAACTGGAGTTGACTGCTTAAATGAATCATTATCTATCGTCTTGTATATCTTGTCTTTTTAATCAAGACGATAGACAAACAAGAGCTTGAATATTTTAGAGCATAAGGGATGGATATAAAAGATGGGTTTAAGACATCGGTCCCGAATGACGCGAATGACGCTATGTCCCGGGATTCACGGGATTCATTGTTTAGCTGCAGCCTGCAGGAAGTTTCGGTGTGTGGCGTGTCAATAATTCCGCCCGTACGCGAGTATTTTGAGATATTGGTACCGGGCTTACAAGTTGAAATGCTTGATGACGAAGCTGCTTGCCCAATCCCGTTCATCTGCGTCGTCGTGGGGTAGTCCTGAAGTAGTTTTGAATGAGACATTTATGATTCATGAATATATCTTTAGAACGATACCCATACCGGAAATAATAATCTAGGGCTCGACGGTCTCCGGAAGACCGACTCTCCCGCTTAGAGGCGTCATGCAAGCAAGCCACTTGTGATCTAGACAACAGTAGAAGTACAACCCGAAGGATGGATGACGACGGTTCTATAGTACTATATAGAAAGAAGGTACATAATATATATCCGAGGATGGAGAACGTAATGTTTCGTCAAACGAGTTCACTGATCACTATTTATCTGAGCTCGATGACCGCTAGACTTATACGTCTTATACACTAGAATCTCTTCTATATCTCAACTATGTCTCAACATCTCGAGAGCGAAGCTACGTTTGAGGGTCACTTCATCGGGTTTCTCTATCGTCAATGGCTAATCCACCGAAAACCAATCCCTAAGGGAACAACCATCTCGGGTCAAACGGCCATCGTGACCGGTTCCAACTCTGGTCTCGGATTTGAAGCTGCGCGACAGCTACTCCAGCTCGGCCTTGCACACCTCGTCATGGGCGTGAGATCGCAAGCACGCGGTAACGCGGCTGCAGACAAGCTACGGAAAGAGTTCCCAGACTCAACTATCTCGGTCTGGCTTGTCGATATGGAGTCGTACGATTCTATCACGGCATTTGCGAAGAAGTGCGAGACACTTCCGCGCATCGACATCGCCATATTAAACGCTGGCTTACGATGCGATAATTTCACAGTTGTCGAGGCTACGGGCCACGAGAAGACCTTCCAGGTAAACTACCTTTCAACCATCCTGCTTGCCATCCTACTGCTGCCGGTCCTTAAGTCAAAGAAACTGTCGTCGAGCAGTTTGTTCCCTCCCCGGCTTTCAATCGTCACGTCAGATACTTCATACTGGGCGGATCCGCTCGAGGCGGGACCGGTGCTGCCCCAGTTCGACATTCCCGAGGAGTTCAAGTCGATGCGGTCTTACCCGAGGAGTAAGTTATTGCAACTATATTTCATCTCTAAGCTAGGGGAGCACATCAAAGCCGACGACGTCATCGTCAACGCATCCAATCCGGGTTTTTGTAGAGGCACGCAGTTCGGGGACGGAGCCGTAAAATCCTTTATATCTGCACTGACATTCTGGATCTTCCAAAACCTAAACGGAAGAACGGTAGAGAATGGCGCCAGCGCCGTAGTTGACGGTGTCGTCACGAAGGGTAAAGAGAGTCATGGAAGCTACGTCAGTGATTGGGGTATCCGACCGTATGTGTAAACAACACGTCATGGCATTAAGACACTTTAACTAACTGAAGTAGGTATCCCAAGGTCGTATACACAAAAGAAGGACAGGAAATAAGAGAGAGGGTATGGGAAGAGACGTTGGAAGAACTGAATTTTGCCGGTGCTTCTCGGATCATCGAAGAGATGAAGCGCTGAATTAAGAAGGGACCGGAGTATTATTCTGCATAGCGAGCGTATCTCGTCTTATAAAACGATGTTTACCAATGATATCTTAGGTACATGTTGATACCATTTGGACGAAACTGGGATCGAGTTGTATGAAGGATAGTGACACTATGAAGCATGAAGCATGAAGCATGCCTGTAAGCTCCTTTTCCTCAAATTATGATGATGTATATACCAGGTCCACCCTCCAATTTCCCTTTCTCTCCTTTTTGGGTATCTCCCCACCTCGACAGGATAGTCAATATGCAACCCAGATCACTGCGCTATGATCATTAATTCATTAAATCGTCAACGCCTCGACCCCAATAGCAAAACGAAAGACTACCAGGTTAAACAGCTCCCTTTCCTCTAGATGACATGGTTTTCGAATCGATGCTTTGTTCTCGCTCGATCTCTTGCATTTCCTTCTCAACCTGTCGGATATCGATATTGGCGACTGCATCTGCGCCATCGAAGATCCATGCGATCTCTTCCAGCGTGGGTCCTTTCGTCTCAACGTAAAAGAAATAAACGAAAGCCAGCTCGCAGAAATCCCAGAGCTGCACAAGAGTCACATATTAGTAAAGGGTCTCGTTAATATATAAATAGGAAGATATGTGGGTTAGGCAATGGGAGAAATAAACTTACAGTATAGAAAAGCATAAAGTTCCAGTGCTTTGGGAACTTATTCCAGGCGATCTTGTTGGTCTGATTACTCAATGCGAGGATAGCCTGCACCGTTATATTCATGATCATCATTCCCTTAGCACGTAGCTTAAAAGGTAGGACTTCGAGCGCGTAGGCTATTAACAGGCCTGAGAAGCCGATATCGTAGAATATGCCGAACAACCAGATAAATACCAGCTGCGCATACCCAGAAGCGGCGTTGGTCATATTTGAATTCTCGTAAATAGCACCACAGATGGTCCAGCTCACGAACGAAACTACCATGCCCGACGTGGAAATTAAGAATAGCGGCCGTCGCCCGAACCTATCTACATTCAAGGCAGCTAGTATTGTCACTATGAGGTCAAGAATCGTCTTGCCGCCGCTTAACTTGACGGAAGTGTCAGCATGCAAGAATGAGCATCGGACTGTAACCTTGAGATGATGTTTCTTACAGCAAGCTTTTGATCTTGGACCCCGATTCCAGCCCCCTCGTAGACGGTGTCCATATAATTAGAAAAGAGCGCGTTTCCGCTGTACTGGGAGATGACGCCTAGGGAGATGAGGATGGCTAACCGCCATAGGTTACCCTTGGTGCGTAAAAAGTCGAGATAACCGGCAGCGCGGGCGACTTGTTTCTCCATTCGCATTGTCTCTTTAATCTCGCGGAACTCAAACTGGACTAGAACATCATTCTTATCACCGCCAGCGTGGTATTTAGCTAAGATATCGAGCGCCTCTTCGTGACGGTCCTTCGCCATGAGATACCGCGGCGACTCAGGGATCCAATAGATGAAAATAATTTGGATCAATGAGGGCAGGATTTGGATCAGGGTTATAGACCTCCAACTCCAATCGTTACGGATCTGCGCGGTGCCCCAACCGACCCAGGCAACCAGAAGAGCGCCTAGATTCCATAAGCAGTTGTAGACGGCAGTGACAGGTCCACGATGCTGAGGATGACAGATCTCGGTTAGCAGTAGGGGAGAAGCCATTTGCGATAAACTGTTACCGAAGCCGAGAATCAAGCGACCAGTAATGAACACTAGATCGTATGTTAATAAGTTCTAGTTCATGTTAGTTGGACACTTCTCTTTTTTCACACTTACTCTCGTATCCATTACAAAATGCAGATATGCAACCTCCTATTATCATGAAGACGCATCCAATAGCTATCGACGTCTTCCGGCCCCAATTGTCGGCAACATATGGCCTAAGGCATATGTTAATATCTTGTATCAGAGCCAGACACGTGGTAGAGGCCATACGTGAGGAAGAAACTTAAGATGCTCCCGATGTTGAACATATTTACGAGGAGTCCTAACCAACTGTCGGCTACCTCCTGGGGATTATCAGGCCCGACCTGCGTCTTTGGAAAATATTGCTTCCATCGATCAATCTGTTGAGACGTATTGACCAACATTCTGCGTCCGACTTGTCAGCCAGACATCCGGCGAGACACTACTTTCGGCATTCTCTCTTTGCCTTACCCGTCGTATCCAGTAGTCGCTGAGGCTATCATTAAAACACACGCCCACGCATAAAGCTTTCGGAGATGTGGCTCCTTTGTCCAATATACATATTCGAATACGGGTCCTTCCCTACGCGCCAACTGCTCGTGTTCCTCTTCATGACCCTTGGCCGCGGACTGGCGAGGGCGAACCATTCTGATTCCTCTAGATTCGCCTTCTCATGTGTGGGCTATCGACGTATGGTATCGTTCGGGTTCGTGCTTCAACCTCGGGGGGCAGGTAGAGGTCTAGGTATTAGGGGAGAGATGCACGCACGACACGGGGAAGGATATGATGTTATTCAAGTGCTCTATCTGCAGGGAGAGGCCGGGGTTGGTAATTAAAAGCATAACAACGCAGCGCCTGTCTATGTCCTTCGTGAAAGAAGACATACCCTTGCCATCCTACGCTAACCCTGCCGCTATATCGTTGCTGTTACGATAATGCGGGGATAATATAGAGAGGATTGCAGAGGGTAACAGTTAGAGAGGACCCTCGACCAGGATCCGACAAACTAGCGGCCTATCAAACCGACAGCCCGGCTACGATCTAGTCGTGATGCTCACTTCCTCATGCCCGAAAAGAAGAGTCTTATGGTATATCTGAGGCTCCGAGTTGACGTTTTCGGGAAGTATGCAGTAGTCAGTTGATGCAAAGTTTACTTTCGATTTTCCTACCCCGACTATACGCAGGTCCCTTTACAAGACGGAGAACTAACGCATAAGTGTCTATTACCCTTACCTAGAGCTGGCCTATGCTTTGAATGCTGTGCCTCTAGTGCGCTTATCCTTTTTATTTGATCGTCACAGGTATTGTATACAAGTCTGCTCTTGTAATGTATCTAGACATTGCAAACCTACCGCTATTGGTCGTTGAGCACATGACAACTATGTAAAGTGAAATGACCCAATAGGTGACATAGAAGAAATCTGCATAGCAGCAAAAGACCCGCTTCCCCAGGTTGTATGTTATGCGCGACAGCGATGATCCCTAATGGAACGTGGACGACGAGCTAGGGTAATAAGTGACGGCGCTGGACCAATCCTGTTGCCCATCCCTCCGGCAGGTCGTTCGATCGCCGTTGAATAACACCCTACCTATCCGGGTTTGGGGAATACAAGGCCCTGCTCAAGCCGTCCAGATTTAGAAGAGAGCATCGAATGTACGGGACGCTTCAACTACATGGCATAACATGGAAGCATCGGCAATATAACTTCCACCGCATATGTGCGGGCCGAGAACCTAGTCAGAAGTTCGAGTGTTATTGGATGTATGGCTTGTCTTTCCGGCGCATTGTCATAGTGTAGGCAACCATAGGTAAGAATGGTTGGCGGTGGACCAGAAAAGGACCGGCTGGTTATTTGGCAAAAGTCGGAATGAAACATAACGAGTCTTCCTAAGGGGGAAGCTTGGCAACGGAACAAGGAACCTAGAACATTCTGGCTAACTAAACTACATTATTTACATCTTTTAATGTAAGGTAGTTCCTAAAGAATAGAGAAGTCTGCTATTTTGCTTGGCTATCTATTATTGCTATTACTTTCACCGCGTGTTATAACTCCCCCCTCCATAGTTTAGTTCAGTTTAGAGACATCCTATTGTTAGCTGTCACTTATTATATGTTGCTACTGACACCGAGGACAATCTATGGGATTAATGGTGGGAAATTTCTTTTTGTGGGAAGGAAAAACGGTAAGTGAAATCCGACAAGAGCTGGTAGAAAAAAAAGACACGAATCCGAGCTAAATTACTGCCTATGACATGTGTCTAACAACCTTGGAAGCTTGGTGGTAAGTGAAGAAGGCTGGTATTATCCTTGAGCAAAGGTATAGGTATGCTGGAATTGCGTGGCAATATACAGCAGGCGTGGTTCGTTTACATACAATCTCAAAGGTGTCGACCCCAAACTCATTTCGAATGCCAAGCCTAGGTTGCCAGTATTTCACTCATTTTATTAGTTTCATTGTTAGGCTTCTAGAATCAATACACACCAGCAAGCAAGCAAGCAAGCCATCCTGGGGATCCTAGTTACAATTCGCCCTATCACCCTATTCTTCAAAAGCCTGCAATAGTATCCAGTCGCAGAGCTATGAACCGGCATCAGTCGCACATTTGTTAAATAGATTTTGAACAAAATCAGAAAGCAAGGACAATAGCGGACTGACGAGATTTCCGTTAGCATAAAACAACTGCATCCCCTAATGTAAGTCATCCATGTCCACCACTACACAACATCATCCATCTCACTATCGGAGATGATGGAATTTACATATGTGGGCCTGAGGCTGGTATCGTTGGAGGACCTCTCGAGGTTATTAATGCTATGCATGGCCCTCACCAACTTATCCATTTCTCCTTTAAGCTGTTCCCGCCTTTTGGCGGTGTTCGCGTCTTCCTCCATTAACCTCTCATAAAGACCTGGCTCTGCCAATTGGTGAACTATTGTTAGCATTGTTTACCAACTTGATCTGCTAGATTTATCTATGAGGGGGGTTATCTTACCAGATTGGCTGAAGATATAGAATTTGGCGTTCAAGAACTCATCGAGCTGGCTTTCTCGATATGTGCGGAAGAGGTTGGAATTTACATTCATCGTCACACCCTCTACGAACCGCGCCGCGGCCACTACCCATATAAAATGATTAGCAAGAAGAATCGGGTCAGAATCGCTACCGAGAAGTCGTACTCATGTAATATCCACGAACAAAACCGGCCACCTCAATTTCAGTATCGTAGGGGTCTTTCCCAGCCTTGTGGAGGTTAGCATCAAGCATTTTCCGTTCCTTGGTCTTTTCCTCCTCTGACATCCTTTCCAATTTATGAATCTTATAATTCCAGTCGATCAGAGTCAAGGCCTTTAGACGTAGGATGCCTCGCATACGTGTAAGTTGTTCCATCTCCTGTGCTTTATAACGATGGAACGCATCGTCATTCATCATGTAAAGCTGATACGTCTCGGATCCGAATATTTCCTCTAGGCGTGCCCTTTGGCTAGCGACTGTCTTGTCAATAAATTCACTCAGATACTTCCTGCAGTCTTTGAAGATTAAGCGGCTGCGCAGTGACTCTAGAGAGCTTTCGAGGGCGGCATTAGCGGTCCTCTTTAGCAGTTCCGCTGTCTTATTGATATAGGTTTCCAGTGGCGCTTCCCACTTTCTGACCGCTTTCAAGCATAAATTCTCGCGAACTTCGTCGGGGACCAAGTCTCGCGGCATTCCAGGTCGTTTCTTTGATAGAATCTCACTGCGGATATCCTTAATGTCCATTGCAAATCGACCAAGATTGGAATACTTGGCGAATGGGTCTGACACACCCGCCCCTGGACCGCCGATGACGGATGATGTGCGTGACATTCCCATCGTAATGTCTTCATTCTTTACAGGGGTGCCGGCACCGTCTTGGCGCTGTCGCCTGCTAGGGGTTGTGAGGTTTCGCATAGTTGAATCAGTAGGCCGAGGCCTATGTGGTGTCGGTGTGGTAGGTTCTGAATCACCTCCAGAAATATCGATTGTCTGAAGCTCTGAATCTTTGACTGTGCAGGTTGGTTTTATTCTGAATATGCATTCTTGAAATTGGCTGTTTAATGCATTCCATTCAGACGAAAACGCAGTATTCTTCATGGCGGTTTTCATCTGCTGAAGAAAATCAAAAAGGCTCTTCTTCACCTCATATTCTACATTGGGGGGAAGTTCGGGCAGGGCGGCCAATTCGCTCTCGACAACCTTGAGACGGGTGAAAACCGTATTCTTAATCGACGGAAGACTCTCAGTAAAGGCTTCCCCGAGCTTAGAGGATAGGTACTACAACAAACTACCAGTTAGCTTCTCCTATACTCAAGCAGTTCGTAAGATTCACCGGGGGCACAGCAGTAGCTAGGCAAACCGAAACCCTTACGAATGTGGCCACTTACCCTTAGTAGGACCTCGACACCACAGCGGTCTTTAAACTCTGCAAATTCGGTGGGCCATTGAATACCACTGATCTCGCGATTAAAGAAGAGTTCTTCCCATTTTGCTGCGTTCTCTAGCGCTTGATCCGGCGGACGCGATGTAGCAAAGAAACCATGCCCAACGAGTTGCTTGTCATTTTGGAACATAGACAACCAGTTGGAAATGTTCTGAGGGGGAAGTTGGTCTGCCTTTGTCATAACACCGATGGTTCGGCCAGTCGCTTTGGCCCTGCGGATGATGCTTAAAGAGATGGAATTTTCCACATCAACGTTCATCGGAAGAGCCCACATAATAATTGCCCTGGGTCGTTTGATATAGTCAAGTGTCAAATTCTCTACGACTTTCACCACGTACATATCCTCTTCTTTTTCTGGAGATTGGAAGACGCCAGGCAGGTCGTAGAAACTTAGATCTGGAAGCCCAGGCCCTCTCATCTCCAAGGCTACGATGTTCGGAGAGAATTGGGCATCTGTCTCCCGAGCCGCAACTGGAGAAAAAGTCGGTTAGTCTAAAGCCTGACATAAACGTGGAATTGAAAACGAAAACTCAAGATGTAAGGGCGTCGTTTAGTAAGAAGTATTTTGAGTTGCCTATAACATGAAGCGGCCATTGACTCACCATCAAGGGGCGTTTCTTTAGCAAAAGCACCTTCGCCAGGGACAAAAATCTCAAAGTTGCGATTGTGATTTAATATTGCAATCTGGGCCCAGCGAAGAACCTCTTCAATCTCGGAGGGATTAAAGATAGTCTTGAACGGTTTGATATCCCGGTGGTTACTCTTAACCCAGGGAGGGAATGGCTTTGCCACGGTAACGTCTGACAGCTCCGGTTTACGATCAGGGTGTGGCTGGAAATCATAATCCTGTTGTAGAGAGACAGTGCATGACCAATGATCGGTCTTGCTACTGATCAAGCGAATATGAAGAGGGCAACGTGTGCACACGCCAGCACTCCTCGGGAGGTTTATACGAGCTAGACCGGACATCAGGCTGGACTTGCCAGATGACTGGTCGCCAACAAGAACAAGCTCGGGAAGGGGGGCGACGTCTAGAAGTACATGATTAGCAAGCACGCCTCAGCCGTGGGTGGATCATTGCTTGGTTTATCCCTAACAACGCAACGTAGGCTGCCAGAGACCTGGAGGGAATACTACTTACGAGACACGCCGAGCGTCTGAAGGTCTCCTAATGTATCATTACAAGCTTTCTGTCTGAGTCCAATATCGGCAAAGGTAGGATGGGAGAAACTCTGCTGGAGAAAGCTGGCATCGGCGTTCTGTGATACTGGAGAGCCTTGCTGGCCGCTTCTGAAGCTGTCCCGGTACCTCATTTCCATGAAGATGGGCTCTGTTTCATCATCCCTTCGCTGGTGGGTTTCAGCACTAGCTATAGGGCGAAGAAGATTTAGCAACGATGTAAACGATCAAATAGGTAGGGGAGGGGGTAGTTACTCACGAGCATGAGAGCGATTGAACGTTCGGGCCATGGAATGATAACTCTCACTGGGAGGAACTTTCCGCTTGAGAGGATTCGGAGAGGGCGGCCCCATGGTCCCTGATCTCACACTTGGCACCGGTGAGCCACCACGTTCGTGCTTGACGGCGCCATTATGTCGCGGCATTCTAGAATATGGTTAGAAATATCACTCTATAGAAGATAGCTTAACAAACAAGTGGAATTTATATGGTAGAGAGTCGGGAGAGACTGTACCTTGGGTGGTGATTATATGGATGCGGTTATTAGAAGTCAAACCTGAACAAATATATAACGGAGCACAATGTTATACTATCTAACATCCAAGATGGTAAAGAGTCGAGTTACCAAATCTGGAAACCTGGGGTAGGAATAGATAGATGCGGCTGCCAAGAATCGGTGATACTCAAACAGTGCAAGCTCTGGAAGCGTCCACTTTCATCAAGTACTAAAGGTATTAAATAGGATGATGATTTAGATATTGTAAAGGGAAAGAAGAGGGAATGATACACTCGTGTTGGTGATAGTGAGAAGGAGAAAGAATAGAGAAAGTGTGCGAGGAGAAGAGAGAGAAAATTAACACATTAATCGAGTAGATGTATCAGTTATGAAGTTGACTTGAGGCTACCTCCTTGAGATAATGGACGTTGTTAGGGCAACCTGCCTAAACAGGTCCAAGCACTAACAGGCACTATCTAAGTACCGAGTATCGACTAGAAATTGTTCACGCGTAAAAAAAGTGACAGATTTTGGGAAGTGGGGTTGCCTGGTGGCTGGTACATATAGTGGGGTTATTATACTATTGATAAATATCTACGTATAGGGAATTTCCTGATTTACGTATTATGAAGAAAAAAGAAAAAAAAAAAACCCTCAAGAAAAGGCGAATAGAAATACTTAATCGCTTTTTGCAATCAAGGGAAGCAGCTGAGATATCATAGAGGTTACCCGTATCCTAACTACCATCTCTAGCCTCAGTATAGTTTTTGCAATCTCTAATTTACAATAGGCCTTATCACCATCTCACATCCTAGAGACCAAACTATACTATAGATTAAGCTCTGGGCCAAGATCGACTATCCATCAGCTAGATATATATGATTGACTTTGACCAGATCCTCTTCGAGGGCCTCATTACAAGTAGATAAATATAACCATAGGGCATCCAACTGAATCCTGCGTGGATGCCACTCTAGGAATAGTAGAACATATACCAAACAATGGTTCATGCATATCACAATATATGTACTCCGTGGTTTTTAACTCGGAGTCTCCGCGATTCGATTATCTAATAAAAATATGTTAGCTAGGAGTTCCTATCAAGTTGACCATCTCATACCCGGTATTTCTTCCTATGATTAACCCGCCTTCTTCTTCATCTCGGATTCTCCTCCAGCCTTCCCTATCTTCGATCTCGGTACCAGGCGCTGGGTACGGCTCGTCGCACTCACGGCTACTCAGACGTGGCCAGTACCTCCGGTAACTAAAAAATCCGACAGTAAACCCCAGCGCTGACCCCACACAGACGTCATATACGTCGTGGCGATAGTCCTGACACCGACTGATGGCTATCATAGCCGCTCCAACCAGGGGCGCGAGGCAAATCAGCGAACGGCCAAGATCCTTCCTATCGCGGAATATCCTCAATTGGCCAGCCAGAAAGCAAGCTAAGTACCCGAGACCGCTAAAGGAGAAGCTAGAGTGCCCTGAGGGGAAAGACCGCCAGCCGTCGTGGAGGGTATGGTGATCCGTCTCGGTACATACATCGATAGTCACCAAGACGTTAGGTTTAGTGCCGGCGACAGGCTTGCATCTGGCGATTAGGTCCGGCCTAGGGCGGCCAACGGTGTTCTTTACAATGTCGGTGAGGAACGAACTGAGGATGAGGGCGATGGCAAGGCCGAGAATGGTGCTGTGATGCTTATGGAACGAGGCTCGAGCGAAGCTATTGTATAGCAGCAGAAATCCGAGAGGAATGAACAGAGCGTAAACAAAGTTTAGCCAGACTGGCACCCGCTCGACTTCGGCGTGGGGGAATGAGATATTTAAGTTATTGATATAGAACATGCGATGGAAAGGTTCGACGAGAAATTGGATCAAGAGGTAGGCCGTCAACAGGCCAGCGAATCCTACATAGTCGGGTGCATATGAATGCTTGAAAATTAGTTAGACTTGCTTTAGGTTCTGATGGGTTGGGTATGAAAGAATAAAAAAGATCATCATCATACGGTCCAGAACTTAGCTACCGATCCTAATATTCCTCCTTGCTGGAAAGAGTCGTTCCGCGGCGTCATGGTTGCAATAGCTGCAAGTCACCGTCCACGTATAGATTTAAAAACACTCCACAGCATTTCCCGGTAACGACCAATACAAAGGAGATGGCCGCGGAGAAGCAACGGAACGAGTACCTAGTTCACAATGAATTGGAACAGATTAACCTAGGGAATGGGAAATAATTATGTATTGTTATTTTATAACATGTAGGTATGTATTATATATAAGACGTTAAGAAAAGATGAAAGTTGGAGGTCGAGTGCCAGATTAAGGTATGAGATCAGAAGACACGATGACGATTGGCGCATTCGAGATTTATTTTAGGCGCCTACAAGGTAGCACCTATGTACCTCTAAGGCACTCAGGTACCTAATGCTAGCGGCATCTTTGGGATTGCAGCCCCCACGGTCGGGACTAACCCCCAATTTAGGTACTTCACCTCGGTGACCTTTAAGCTTAAAACTTCATTTCCTTTCGCAAAGACTTGGTCAAAATATTACATCTGCCAATGTTTATAGGAGCCACCTTTTGCGACACAGAATTTCCCGCTCTACGTTAGCTCTCTACCACCAGCTACATCTATCGTATCTCTCACACTATAATATGTTGAAATCAACGTATAAGCCCTCGTCGAACCAGCCACCACCACCACCTTTACTTCCTGGTTGGACAGAGCACAAAGCTCCTACGGGCCATACTTATTACTACAATGCGGCTACAAAAGAATCCACGTATACTCGTCCAACCGCGTCGCCTCTACCTACTACTACTTCTATTTTTCAGCCTTCACCTCCTCCACAGGACCCCCACGCCAACTTCCTCCAGTATTCCACCGTTCCTCAACTTTCCGATCCCGCGACCGCCAATGCCTTCCTTGCTCAGTACGACCCAGCACACCAACGTCATGCGCAGCAGCAGCAGCAGCAGTATGGCGGCCGTGGTGGTCACCGCGAACATCGCGAAGGAAGAGATCGACCCCGCCCTCAGCCGGCAGACAAGCCGAAATCCAAAGTTGCCATACCGGGTTGTGAGCCATGGTTGCTGGTGTACACCAAGTATGGTCGGCGCTTTGCGTATAATCCCGCCAAAAATGCGAGTTATTGGCGGATCCCCGAGAAGGTCATGAAGGGGGTACTAGAACTAGACATCAGGGGGATCAAAGAGAAGGCCACAGGCACGCAAGGTGGGGGAGCGGATGTTAAGACATATACATCCCCGTCCGCGGAACCGCAAATAGAAACCCCTACAATAGATACGGTGGAGGAAACAGAGGAACAAGTAGAACTAGGTTCTGATTATGAAGAGGTTGAAGTCACGGATAACGAAGGCGAAGAAGAGGAAACCCGCGAAGCGATGGAAGATGAAGATAAAGACAATGAGCGCCCTCCGAAACGACAGCGTACGGAAGAGCCTACCGAAGACATACCGGTAGAATTTGACGAGGACGATATTGCATACCAGTTACAAGCGATGGGAGATGAGTACGGTCTGGACCCGGGCGAATACGACGACGGTAACCCGGACGCGTGGCCCGAAGGTGCTGAAGGTCTCCCCCTATCTGAGACGGACGCGAGAGAGCTGTTCAAAGATTTACTAAACGATTATGGTATCAACCCTTACTCATCATGGGAAAAACTCATCGAAGAGGGCCGCATCATTGAAGACGGGCGGTACACGGTGCTTAATACGATGAAGGCACGCAAAGATGCCTGGGAAGAGTGGAGCCGCGAGCGAATACAGATTCTCAAAGAGCAGCGTGCGAGAGAAGAAAAGAAGGACCCCCGGATCCCGTACTTGGCATTTCTCCAGCAGAAAGCAACGCCGAAGCTCTATTGGCCAGAATTTCGGCGCAAGTACAAGAAGGAAGCGCCCATGCGCGACACCGACCTAAACGATCGCGATCGGGAGAAGTGGTATCGCGAGCATATCAATCGACTAAAATTACCCCAAGACACCCTTAAGAAAGATTTGGCTACACTTTTACGCAGCATCCCTCTCCGTGCGTTGAATAACAAGACCCATCTAGAAAACCTCCCTGCTCAAATACTGGCCGACTTGCGCTACATCAGCCTGGCCCCGCAGATCCGAGACCCTTTAATAGAGGCATATATTCAGACGTTAGGACAACTACCAGCAGGTGATGGGGCCGACGACGATGGCGAGGCGGCATGCAAGGCGAAAGAGGAACGGAGAAGGCGGGAGAAGGCGCTTGAAGAACGAGAGCGCATTGTCGCAGAAGAAAAGCGAAAGCAAAAGAGGCAGCTGGAATACGGAAAAGCAGCCCTACGAGAGGAGGAGCGGGAACTAGAAAGAGCTATGCACGTAGGGAAAAAGGGCCTACAGAGTCAACTTTTAGCCGCGAATAAGACTGATAATGCTGCTAGGTAATTGAGTACTTTCTTAATATACCCAAACTACCACAAACATGATTCGCAAGTTCACCTTCGGTATGAAATATAATTATAGTTAAGGTTTAGCATCAGTTAATAGGTAACTATCAAGGAATATCTAGATTATCTCGAAGTTCCTTCACAGCCTTCCCTTCATCGGTGTCTCTTCGTTATCCGATCATAACAGCCAGTTATCGAACCAGGTCACAGCCTGCAGGAAGGCCTGCTCCTTAGCGAAGCGCTCAACCTTTTTACTGGTGTCGCAGCGGACAGAAAATCCATGGACTACCTGCGAGTACAGGTTGATCTGGTAGGGCAGTCCGCCCTGAGCTAGGATCTCTTCAGACCTGTGGCGCTTGTCGGCCGGGAAGATCTGATCCGTCTCAGCAGCCGCGATAGATAGCGGTGCCTTGAATCCCGCAAGCTCATCCTCATCAACAAAGGACGGGTGCGCCATAAAACCAGCCTGGATACCGTTCTTGTAGTGACGGGCGACGTACTACATAGGTGATTGTTAGCGGCTCGAACATACAGAAAGAAGACGGAATAACTAATTTAAACATACCTTTGCTCCGAAGCAGTACCCGACGGCTCCCAGCTTCTTGAAACCCCTCTCAACCGTAAGATACTTAATAGCAGCTTCAATAATAGGGTCGACAGCCTCCTTGGTGTGGGGGTTGTCGCCAGTAGAACCCTTAGACAGCCAAGATACGAAATCGAAACCCTCAGGGCGGTTCAGAGATAAGGCGTCGCCTTTAAAAGGGTCAATGATGAGGGTAAGGTAGCCGTTAGCAGCATATTGATCAGCCATCAGCTTGCTATTCTGCCAGATGCCGATGACGTCGGGAATAAACAGGATAGCAGCGTCTTTGGCCGTAGATGGCTCGGGAGTAGCCAAGTAGGCTTGGTGTATGCCTACCTTGATGTCTGCACCTGTGGGCGTGCCCCTACATAACAAGACGTGGTTAGTATAAGGACCCAAGGAACAGTAAGATATACCTAGGTGTATGTATACATATGTTCAAATGTAGAAGTTTAAGTATAGGAGTAACTTACTCGTGCTTGACACCCTTGACGCAGCAGTCTCCGGGGGGATTTGAAGCCATCTTGAATTCTCAGTATGGGTAGGTACCAACGGTATTTATCTTTTATATGCGTAGGTATTAATGAGTAGAATATTACGAGTTGACGTGCGGCGAGAACTATGATGTAGATATGATAGAAAGAAGGATATTCAGCTTCGGATGAGTAAAAGGAAGAGCAACACAAATTACTAAGAGCGAGACGAGAGAAGCTTAAGTATAAAAATTGACGCTAACAAGTCCTTAGTCGTCGAGATTTATCAGCAGCAACAACATTTACATTGTTACAGCTTGTTCGCTCTTTCCGCTATATGAAAGGTAACTTTCCTTAGGAGTGCCCTAGTTCCAATGACCCCTCCACCCCACCTACCTGGGTACCTCCTATGTTAGGTACCTCATTACATGTAGTTCTACTACCCGTCCGCGGTGCCGACGCCTGCAAAGCCTAGGTACATAGTACGACAAACCCCACCCCGATTCTCGATGGATTGCTCCAATCGCGTCAGCATGCAGGCACGTTTCGAGGCTTTTTTATTTGATATCCACACGTGCAATGCTCCAATTATGTAACCTTGAAACTTGCATGTCAACATTCTTAAGAGGTGCACCAAAAAAGTCGGGCATTGGCCTGCAGCTTCACCACCATCTTACTCCTCTGTCCAGCATCATGGAAATATATTACTTAGGCATCTAATAATATACTAAGGATATTATATAACAATGATCATTGCCTATACGAAGCGTAGCTCTCGCTCTCATTATGACCTACAGGGCTACTCTTACGGCGGGCTTCAACTCAGGAGACCTACAACTTCGATGACTTCCGGTCGAGCATGGGGCCATCTATCCGCTTTTCCATCTCCTGCGTGTGATCCTCCCCTGCTCCCCCGTACTCGGCTCCGGAAGATCCTCTTGTCTTGACGCCCCGTCGGCATTATCGCGCCGTGAGAGTCCTACCTGCGGCCGAGATGATACCCAGAATGGAATCCATGCTCTATTCTTCTGCTCCATCGACTGTCTGCCAGAAGTACGACCCTCCCGACTTTGTCGTCCCAGCATAGCCGTGGATGATGCCGATGTACGAGTTTCGATATCCTCCCGGTCTAGCTGTGTTCCTATTTTCGGTGACGGCGACTTCCCGGGGCCTAGCAGCAATCGTAAAACTTGGGTGGGAATCATAGGGGACGGGGTTTGATGACTCCATTCTTCTCGAGCGACATCCTTGTGCGTTGCTACGTTGCTAGGTGTGGAACTAGTTCCGGCCGTGCTCGCACGAACCTGGGATGAGGATATGCTCCTTCGGCGCCGCTTTGATTGCCCCGGTATTTTCGGTGTTTTCGCTAGTTCCGTGTCTGTCCGTGGAGATAAACATTCCTTCTCCGTTTTCTCCGTTTCACCGTATGCTATCTGCGCTTGGTCGACGTTTCTTTCAGACGACTTCTTCATCATCTTATCCCGTATATAACCGCTTCCGCGACCATTTGCACCACTATTCCGTACCCTTCGGGTATTTGCTGCTTCCTCTAGGTTGCTTCCGTCCCCTTTGTTGTGAGGCATTAATTTCTCTGCTGGGCCGGAGATCGTGTCTCTATCTCCGTTATATGCGCTCGTCCGCCTCTTGAAGGACCACCAAGATTCTTGACGACTTTCTTCTACTTGGGACTCTGGTTCTGTCGAAAGCTGGCCTAGAGATGTCGATATGCCCTCTAAAGGACTAGTATTGGACATATTCGCTTTATTCTTGGTTAGTCCAAGAATGCTACGAAACCTAGTTCTATGTTCGTTCGAGCGCTCGAAACTGGCCTGAGATTCCGGGGTACACGTTAATTGGCTCCTTCTCTGTAGTGTAGGTGCAAATATCTGATTCCGGAGACTGGACGCTGAGTTGACTCTCTTGTTCTTTCGTAACAGGTCCGGAGCTTGTGGTGTTTGCTCTCTCGAGGTCTCGGCTCGTTCCGTATGACGAGACGCGGATGTCAGCTGTCCGCCGTCTCTAATTATTGCGGTTGTATCTTCAACTCCAGTGTCGTAGGGGTGCGTACTCTTGCCGGGTTTGGTATTCGCGGATATAGAGTCTCGTATCCTAGGATTGTCAGACAATGTCGATGCGCTCGGTCCTTTCTGCTTCCGTGACTCTATTGCTTCTACATAATCGTCAATTCCGTCTTGCTAAGACTCAATCTTCATATTTATCCATAATAGGGGAATCGAGACTGCCTCAAGCGCCTTTACTCGTCGTGATTTTGGCTTGTCTTTGGCCTCTCCTTCTCGGAGTTCTCGAGACTCGTATAGTGTTTGCTGAGTCGGCCAACGGTGTCTATAGTCAACTACCGCCTTCTCCCTCTTCCTCGAATGTCTTCTCATTCTGGTATTCAGGTCGCCTTTTGAATATTGGTCTAATTAGACGGTGCTGTCTACGTTGAAGGATGGGGTTATTCGGGATCCGGTACCCGTCCGCCTTATGTCCCCTAGCCTAACTTTACGTATATCACAAGTAAAAATATAGCCTAATGCTAATCGATGTAGAATATATTGCAACGAATGTAGATAAATAGCATCGCCCCAGGAGATATGACCTGGGATGATATGTTTATTTTAACTAGTTATAACTAATAAGAATAAGGTATCTTCTAAGTGGTCTGGTTACCTCCTAGCTAATGCATGTATGTAGTTTCACCTTTTGTACTTTCGGTTAGAGCTTCCTAGGTAACTTTTCTGAGCTTACATTTCTATCAGGCAAGCAGACCGTGAGGCTGTTCAGTTCGAAGTTACGTTTAGTAAGGTACGTAATTCTAGTTGATACTTTATCTAATGATAAACAGATAGGTACATAAAACACTAGATAAAACTTAGGTCTATAATTTAGGTATATCGCATAAACTCGATGGCCTTGACATTCCATAGAAATATAGCGTTTAGCACAACTCATCTCAAATTTCGAGAATGTTGAGTATTCTATCTGAAAAGACCTGTTACCTTCATTTTATCATACTGCTCTTCCTGCTACTATTGGGAGATTTCAAAACTCTATACTAAGTATTTACTATGGTAACCCAAACAAATGATAGCTACCTAGGTGCCCATACGCCATTCATACCGGGTGCCAATACTAAGCCCCTTAATATTATGCATAGAATGGTTGTAAATGGGATAACTGTCTAAACTACCACAATATCTAGTGAACAGATGGAGAAAATAACATATAAAATGTACACTCCGTGTTTTATATCATTGTAATAAGTTCCGCTGAACAGTCTCTAATAGGTAGTTATACGTTCGCCCGTATTACACCTTTTCTACCTCATGCCGGCTCCTGTTAACCGTATATTATCATAAATGGTATATTGCTCTGCGTATAATATCACATGTACTTAAGTAATATAAGTCTTACAAAGCACAGTCCTTGTACGATTATCTCAACTCGGCTCGATTGTACCCTGTCCCAGTGGCAGGGGTATACGGTGCCTCGGCAACTTGCGTTGGAGCTTGATACTTGGGCTGTACCGAAGCGCCGTGTTGCAAGATGGGAGCGTAGTTCCCATGGGAAGGAGTCGGATAGGGAGAAGACATTCCAGAACCGGGAAGTTCCTGAGGTCCAGCAAGCATTGGTGGCGGTGATGCAGTTATATGAGCGCCCTTGTGGTACTTCTTAATGAAGAAGATGCCTAGGATAGTCAATCCAATAACAGCAACGCCACCCACAACGCCGCCAACAATAGCTCCGATAGGAGTCCCGGAGCTGTTACTCGATGGTACGGAAGTGGTATCTATCGATGCTGAGGATGAAACGGTCGAACTACTTGTTGCTACGGGATGTGAATCCGTAGACTCGTGCGTTGAAGACGTGATCGTTAAATCGTCCGTAGTCGACGATGCCGTACTATCAATTAGGCTTAAGGGGGTGGTCAGTAGCTCAAGAACTCGAGTTTTGCTTTGCGTATCACAGTCCCATGCTGTAACGGTTGAACCACTCGTCTTCGATAATCGAATTAGCACCTCGCCTCTTAAGAAAAGCTACGGGGGTTGTGGCGTGGCCATCTGGCGCCGGAAACCACTGAGCCTATCATCGTTCAGGAGCTTGTCCTTTTGTACTTACAGAGAATAGCCAGGTGATGCAGTATGGTAGTGCCGATTGACTATTGTATGGGGAGTTAACTTAGGTCCGAAGAATGATAGAGTCTAATTAGGTGCTTCCATACCAGCAACGCGTCTTTGAACTCGTGCCGCAGAAACTCGTCGGATCATAATCGTCACACTTAGTCCAAAAACTCGACGAACATGCCTTCAGCTCTCCCGTACAACATCCCCTGTAGTCGCCAATATTTTCGCATGTTCCGACACTTGAGTAACAAGTATAAGTAATAGCAGCTACAGAATTAAGTTAGCTAGGCCCCCTACGCAGCGCATTACTCGAAGAGCAAAGCCCTCACAGTCGAGAGCACCAAATCCGCACGTATCATGACCCATGTGGTATTCGTCGCGCCTTAGCAGCTCGGTTGACGCGTAATATTCCGGGGCCGTGGTAGGCATAGGCTGTAAGGCAGCAAATGCGCCATCTCCGGCCTGCGTGGGGAAGGGCTGGAAAAGGAGTTTGGAGGCCGAAGCCGTGAGAAGCAGCCCGAGTCGAACTGAAAGGGATAACAAGGCGCGCCCCATGGTTCATGGGGTTTTCTTCTATTATGAGCACGCACCTGAAGTTGACAAATCTTACATTGGTCCGACCAACAAGCCGGATGAAAAAGTTATGCTGATTGAGATTGTGAGAGACCTTCAGCTTGCTGCTAAGAAGATTAGTCTTTCAGCTCCAGTGACACATTATATTATCGAGGCACAGAGTAATGTTGACGATGCTGGAGTAGGCAAAGCGCGGTTCCAAGTTTATATTTTTTACAAGATTACGACCCTCAAATTTGGTATACTGAGAAACATCATAAGGTTAGCGGCGTAATGTTATAATAGATGCGTGGTGAGTTAACCCTGTCCCGTTTTACTAATTGTTTAGAAGACATTTGATGTTAAAAATTAGTTACGGTTTATAAGAGAGGTAGTATATAAATCATGTGAGAGCATGGTCGATTTAGAAAGCAGCTTTATATACCTAGGTACCTACCTATGGAAGGTAGGTAAAGTATTCCGTAGGGCATATTTCAGGTACAATATGCCTTACGTGATTTTATGCATTAGGTACCACCTACCTATGTAAAAAAGAGTATTAATTACTTAAAGCATGTTAGAGGGGTAGAGGAACAAGAGGAACAAGAGGGACAGAGGGGTAAAGAGGTACCTTTGTATCTTGGCTAGCGAATCAGTTTTCATATCTTATCAGAGGTCCCCAATAAAAATTTAAAATTTCCATGCGACGGACCCCACCTAACAATTTCCAAAACACCTTAAATATTTTTTTTTTCTTCTCTTCCGTCCTTATTGTTGCCCAACCCTTCATCGTCAACGGAGGAGCAGCGTTAGAAAAGGAATAAGAATCTGGGCCAAGGACCACGTCGTAGACGTAAGGTCGTCGACGTAACCCAGTCCATTCTATTTCCTTACTATATCTAGCACTTGCTAGAATTCTGCGCTGATCTATACGCTCAAGGAACGCCAGAACTTCTACGTTGACTTCCTTCACCATGGATCAGCAAAGGCTCGTCGAGCTGCTCCAGGCATCTCAAATTCGTAAGTACTTGATATGCATATGCATGTACTTCATATATACACACAAATAGAGCCGAGAATTAGCTAGTCTTCGATTTGCTAACTTTTTCTTTTTACCTTATAGCTGACACGCAGAAGGTCAAGGCCGCAACTGCTGAGCTCCGCAAGAACTTCTATCCTCACCCGGATTCCTTACTCGGTCTGCTCCATGTCATAGTTTCCCATCCCGAAGCCACCGTTCGCATGTTGGCGGCTGTCCAAGCCTTACGGCTCGTTCCCAAGCACTGGGAAAAGATTGCCGACGACCAGAAGCCTGCTGTGCGCAATGAGCTCCTCCAAGCCATCGTCCGAGAGCAAGACGCGAAGTGCCGTCATGGCCAGTCCCGTATTATTGCTGCTATCGCAACGGTTGATTTCAATAATGAGCAATGGGGCGACTTGCTGCCTGCCGTCATGCAATTGACTAATTCCGACAATGTCGCCCACCGTGAGGTCGGCTCCTACATCATATTCAGCCTCTTGGAAGCGAACCCAGCCTACTTTGAAGATCACCTATCCGCTCTATTTGAGCTCTTCGCCAAGACTATTCGGGATCCCCAGAGCCGTGACGTGCGAGTCAATACTATGCAGTCTATTAGTGCCCTATTGATGCTGATCGACTGCGACGATGATGAACAATCCGTCAATATCGTCCAGGGGTTTGTTCCTACCATGGTTGACGTACTCAAAGATGCTGTTGACGGTGGCGATGACGAGCGAATACAGCAGTCGTTCGAAGTCTTCCAATCCTTCTTGGCTTATGATCCTGCTCTGATATCCCGCTACTTTAAAGATTTGGTCCAGTTTATGCTTGACCTAGCCATCAACACCAACGCTGAAGACGACGTGCGGGTTCAAGCGATCTCCTTCCTCGCGCAGTGTGTCAAATACCGCCGGATGAAGATCCAAGGCATCCCTGATATGGGTGCACAACTCATGAAGAAGAGTTTGGTAATCCTATCCGAGTTAGCGGATGATGATGACGATGAAGACACAACACCCGCCCGGACGGCTCTATCTCTGATAGATCAGTTGGCTACAGACTTGCCGCCGAGACAGGTTATCGTACCTTTGCTCGACGAATTTCCCGCCTATGCCAGTTCGCAGAACCCAGGGCAACGCAAGGCTTGTGTACTCGCCCTGGGTACGTGTGCCGAAGGTGCGCCCGAGTTCGTGTCTACCCAGATAGCGTCGGTCATGCCTATGGTCTTAAACCTCCTCAAGGATCCCGTACAAAGTGTTCGCCATGCGGCTCTCCTAGGTCTCATACGCTTGGGCGAGGATCTATCTGATACCATGTCTCCCCATCATGATGGCATCATGACCGCTTTGGTCTTAAACTTGGATGCAGCTAGCGGTGATGAGTCTGATAAGAAAAATGTCGAGATTATTCGATCCGTCTGTGGCGCCATCGACTCTATGGCCGAGGGGCTAGGAGCGGACATCATGGCTAAATACGGAGAGAGCATGATACATCGTATTGGAACGTTCTTATCGCATCCAGACCCCAAGGTCAAGTCTGCCGCAGCGGGTGCGCTTGGTGCCATCGCTGTCTCTATCAAGAGCGCATTCATCCCTTTTCTCAAGCAGACTATGGAAGCCATGTCTTCCTACATCATGGTTGAGAGTGGTGAGGAAGAGCTCGCGTTGAGAAGCTCGGTCTGTGATGCTATGGGTCGTATCGCTGTCGGTGTCGGTGCACAGGAGTTCAGCCCGTACGTCTTGCCGCTGTTGGTGGCCAGCGAGAAGGCTCTTCACCTTGGCAATCCACGCCTCCGAGAGACTACATTCATATTATGGAGCCAGCTGGCTACCGTATACGAAGGGAACCTCGGTGAATCTCTCGCGGGTATCTTCAAGGGTTTATTCGACAGCCTAGAACAAGAGGAAGAGGAGGTTGAGTTCGACCTTCCAGAAGATCAAGATGGCCTTGTCGACGAGGAGGTTGTCATGCACAGCAAAAAGAATAAGGTCAAGGGTGCCGAGGGCGCAGATGACGAAGATGAGGATTTCATGGATGATGACGACGACGATGATGATTGGGATGACCTTGTCGGCGTGTCCGCACAAGCATTTGAGAAAGAAATTGCCTTAGAGGTGCTAGGCGACGTCATCTACGCCGCTAAAGAGAGGAGCACGCCCTACATTGAAAAGGCTATAGAGCTTGTAGCTCCCTTTGCCGAGCACTCATACGAGGGGTGCCGCAAGACTGCCATTGGAACCCTTTGGCGAACCTATGCTTGCGTATGGGAAGTCATGGAAAAGCAAACCGGCCGCAAGTGGGAACCTGGTTTTCCCCTTAAGCTGGAGCCGGTCGCCAACATCGCCAAGCTTGGCGAGATCGTATCTACCGCTACGTTACATATCTGGCCCGATGAGTCCGACCGGTAAGTTATTCCTTATGTGCACCTGCTACTGTTCCCTATTCCGGTTCCAATGATGACTACTTTACGTTATACCCAGCTCACTCAGACGCTCTATGCGGTTGCTGAGAACACGTATTTTGAACTATATCTGATTTTAACCATTTCTATATACAATTTTTGCATTGAACAATGGAGGCAAGACGGACGCTAACATTCATTAGGGACGCTGTCACAGAGATCAACCGTAGCGTCGCTTCCACGCTGAAGACTTGCGGCCCGGCCATATTGGGACAGAAGGATATGATGGAGCAGGTTGTGACCATACTCGGTACCATCATTACCCGATCGCACCCCTGCCAGCTAGATCTCGGCGAGGAAGATGACCAGGAAGAGTCCCAAGGGAGCTCCGAGTGGGATTGGTTAGTAGTAGACACCGCTTTAGATGTTTTGATCGGTCTCGCCTGTGCCCTAGGCCCGCAGTTTACCGAGGTCTGGAAGGTTTTTGAAAAGCCCATCATCAAACTCCTAAGTTCTAACGAGGCCATTGAGCGATCAACCGCTGTCGGTGTGGTAGCCGAATGCGTCGCATACATGGGCAGTGGAGTGACGCCTTATACCTCAACATTGTTACGCCCGTTACTGCATCGCCTCTCCGACGAGGATAAAGAGACCAAGTCCAACGCGGCGTACGCAACTGGACAGCTCATTTATCATTCAGAGGACGCAAATACGTACCTCCCTGCTTATAACCAAGTCCTAGGGAAGTTAGAGCCCTTACTGCAGATCAAGGACGCCCGATTGCAAGACAACGCCGCTGGATGCTTATGCCGCATGATACTAGCCCATCCCGACCAAGTTCCGATTGCGGACGTACTGCCTGTTCTTGTTGAATTGCTGCCTCTAAAAGAAGACTACGAGGAGAACAAGCCTGTTTATCAGTGCCTGCACAAACTATGTAAGCCCACATTCTACCATACCTTGCCATCACCGCCTGAAAATGGCCATATAGAACTACCTCGAGGATATTATGCTGATTATAAACTTCTAGATGTGCTCTCAAACCCAACGGTGCAAGAGCTGACGCCGAAGCTGCTAAATATCTTCCAGCAGGTCCTCGCGCCACCGGAAGAGCAACTTGAACCAGAAACGAGAGAAGTGGTACAGGATATGGTACGCATCCTGGCCAAATAAGACGGTTATGCGAAACGGGTTTAAATGAAGGAAAGGTCTTCTGGAAAACGGAAATGGATATGGTTGCATGAAGTCATGAGCGAATGAAGGATGGGAGAGATGCGGTGGCTACCGTTGTTTGCACATAGATGATTCCCCCTGAATGATTGTTTTTAAGTGTCCTCCGGGAGACTACTAGTTATAGCTAGGCCTGCTGCATCTGCTACGTCGTGTCAGTAAGAAATTCATGGCAGTGTACGAACTACAAGCCGATACCTTGAGACGTGCTTGTGATTATAAGGATTGCTATGAATTGAAGATTGAAGATTTCCATCTCGGAACCAGCAATTATCAAAATGTCCAGTGTTGAAAATGCGTACCTTACGCGGCTTGGCACCGCATTAGATGTTATAACAGGTAGATACCAAGTCGTTCGTGGTTTTATCCTCATAACCTCAGGCTGTTATTGAGCCATATTGCCGCTCTACCGCGAGAAGCTATATATGGCCCTTACTAACCTGTACTAATTATTCGCGATACTTCACGTGCATGTTGTTGTAAATACCTCGTTTTTATGAGATTATCTTGTACTGCACGACGAGTAGGCCTCCGGTGATGAGGGTTTTTTCTTCTCTTCCAACCGCCACTCGTTCTCCTGATCTCATTATTCTGACGCGTTAACGCAATACATGGTGGGGTAGGACTGACATCCATTGCGGAGGCAAGTTCTTTCTATGGCCATATCGAGGGGGTTGGGTTGGATTGACGGCTTTGTATCGTAGCGCGTCACGGCCATCATCCCTGCATTTCTCGTCCCCTGCCGAGCCGAGCCGGGGAGAGGACTAATCATGCATTAGGTAGGTATTAGAAACTACATTAAAACGACTACCCCTGCGTCTTGCACTTGTTAAGCCTTGGTACTGTTGGTTCTTGTTTGAAAATGTGACTGAACCAGTTTAGATAGAAGGTATAACTACCTAATCCAATAGGAAGAAGAACCCGTCTGCAACAGGTCGATATTGTTTCCCATAGCCATATCTACGAGCTTCACTGGACTATTAGCTCTACGGAGGGTTGCATTCTGCCAGGTCTTCCAATTACGGCTGCATTCATGTCTATTCAGATCGTCGTCTTGATAAGCTCGTTCCTTTTGCTTCCCTTTCCCTAGACTGCGCTCTTAGACCATAGGTACATCCTTATAAAATAAATTCGAGTAGGTAAATATGCAACTTGCTTAAGTACCTAACCTAACCTAGGTAGTGATATATATCGGAGTTAATTAACTTGGTATAGGTTATAAAAAATAAAAATAAAAAGAAGAAGAAGTGTCTCCCAGTTTCCCATCTACATGCCAGTGGGTCCAGTGGATCACCAGGGAGGGAAGGTCATCTCCGATCTATGTTACTAACATTCGATTGCCGCCATGGGACGGGAAATGGCGATTGGCACCTGGGGTTGTAGTCTTGGGGTTTCCCGGGGGAAAAGCTTGATTTCGATCCTACAACCGGTCATAATGAAGAGATAAAGAGATATGCACTGGCTTAAATAGGCAAGATATTACCTACTACTTCGAAAAATATGTAGAAAAATAGTGAGCTGTTAAGGTGACCCCAAGTTACCTCATGCATACCGAACTATGTATCACGAAGTTACCGCGGCGTTTTCACAATCTTAATTCAGCTCATCCATTCTATCGGAGGCGGTACGATGCGAAATACAGCCGCGAGGCGGAGGTTACTTGCAGTAGTGGTATGTAACACATATCAATCTTAATCACGTTGTGTAAGTTGACAGCTCCTACGTAACAATAGCAAATCTCGGACCTGAAAAGATTTGTATATGAAAGAAGAGGGATTTGGATGAGTTCATATGATATAGGTACCTATATAAATAAGTAGTTAAGTTCACATGATAAGGTATGGGAAGCATTGTTACCATATTAGCCGGTAATATATACCTATATATATATAGGTATGTACCTTATATCTATGTATAGGTACATATTGAAGTTGAAAGATAAGAACACTGGGCCAGCTATATTGATTGATCCTTTCAGCATGCCATTCTATACGCGGTACTTATACAAATCCCATGTAGGTACCAGACATACCCGTAGACGGCTGCTAATAGAAACTTGTTTACAGATACATATATGCATCTGCGCATGCATATCGATCCCCATCAGGTAGTTACTTCATATACGAGATGCAAATTGGCCGTTTCTGCATGACACACCTAAAGAAAAAAGCAAAGAGGAATCCATCTACCTAGGTAGGTAGGTACCTACGTAAGGTATGTAGTTGTGGGATGATTTTGGACCTTAAAAGTCATGATCACTTACTAAATTCCTTTGAGTAGCAATTTTACTTATCAATGTTCGCACAAGCTTCAGCTCTAAACATATTTCAAATAAATACACAGGCTTCTATCATGCAACTATAAAATAAACCTAGATCTCCCTTCGAAAATTGATAAGACCTGCCTCGAAAAGATACATGGAAAAGGTGTGTAGGTGTAACAACTACATACATAGGTATAGTTAGGTATATTAAAAACGGTTAGTTGGTCTACTTTAATATTACCTAAAGAAGAGCCATATTTCAACTGCGCATCACTTTTCAAGCAAAGAATCTTCCAGATATATAAATTTAGAGAGATCAACTACAAAGTACATGGAGATACAAGTGTAGATAGTGTACAAGAGTTGACTCCTTTGAGTTACTTTAATCTTGGTTGTAAGGGCGAACTGGGGTGAGTACCGCGTACATATAGCCTACCCGCAAGGTTGTTTACATAGATGCAATATGTGAACCAAAAACAATGGGATGTCGGATATGTATGTAGCTACGTACGTGGAGTACGTACGTGAAGGTATGGAGGGTAAATTCCAACGAATGAGATTTAAGCGTACAGTTCCAAAGGAATCCTGGTTTTGAGAACAGACATAACGATATAAAACAAGTGAAAAGGGCTGCTCCCCCCCCTTTCTACCTGATTCTGCCCTGTTTTCTTTCCATCCCTTTACTGTTCAGAACAGGCCCCGTAATAAGAGTAGGACGAGAGGCAAGAGTCGACGAGTGAAACATTGGAGGCAAAGTCATTCGTTACTATAATCGGCCTGTACAATAATTCAACCACCCTCTAAGCACCTATCAACTCCAATCAACCATAAACATACACTGTCAATCGTTTAGGGAGCCTTACCCACATTTGCAATATGCGATTCACGCTCGCTTTCGTTTCCGCCCTTCTAGGCATCGCCATTGCAGCTCCTCAAGGCATCACCGACAAGCTAACTCCGACCGGCGCTGCACCAGCTGGTTGCAAGGGTAGCTTCGACGGCAAGTTTGAGATCAGCGTCGCAGAGGTTACTGAGAAGCGAAGCATTTCTCAGCCTCAGGTACGTATGGACAAGACGGTTTTAGATTAAAGCCGGATCTTGATTAGGATATATGCGTAATGGCTGCTAACGATTGGAATAGAAGCGTGCCGAGTGCGGCAGCGATGGAGTTCTTGTGTTGACGTTGAAGGATGGTTCAACGTTTGACGCCAAAGACCGAACCGGTTACATCGCGTCCAACTACCAGTTTCAATTCGATGCTCCTGCCCAAGCTGGCGCCCTCTACACCAGTGGATTTTCCCTCTGCGAGAACAACATTGTCGCGTTGGGAGACTCTAAGACCTTCTACCGATGTCTGTCTGGTGACTTTTATAACCTGTACGATCGCGACTGGGCTCCCCAGTGCTCGCCTGTCTCGATCATCGCCGTCCCGTGCGGTTCGGATGACCCGGCCTCGCAGATACCCGATGGTCAAGTTGTCGGCACTAGCGTTGTTCTGACTACTATCGTCACCGCCTTGCCAGACGGCCAGCCGCAGGTTGTTACGACTTCAGTCCCTGTTCCTATCTGCCAGATCGGCGATGGCCAAGTGCAACAGGTTACTACGCCTTGCGCCTCGGTAACACCTAGCCCAACGAGCACGTATGTGCCTGTGAGCGAGTACACGGATGGCCAGGTCCAAGTCACGCCACCAGGCAGCGCTCCCGCTCCCCCGGCTACTCCGACGGCTACTCCTACACCCGCCCCATCCGCCCCTTCGGTTCCCGTCTCGTCGGCTCCTGCACCCGGCAGCAGTGGTGGTGTACCGAGCTCTTATACTAGCGCCAGTGCAACCGCCAGCGCCAGCATCAGCTCTAGTGCTGGTGTTACCGTTCCGGTGAGCTCATCATCGACGAGTCCCAGTGCTCCTAGTGAGACTTCGGCACCGCCCCAGAGCGGATCATCGCGTATCTCGGTTGGATCTGTTGGTGCGCTGGTCTTCACCGCAATGGTGGCCTTTTTCTACCTGTAAATTAAACCAGTACACTCTTCGGATAAGTTTATCAGACAGGATTGTATAGCAGTAAGGGTTGCAAGTGACTTGGATTGCTTTAGCTTGGAAAGCTTGGAACTAATGCATGTGTATACCATCATGAGATGGTTTAATGTGAGATACGAGGGAAATGAGGAGCAACACAATGATAGCAACATAGGAGTTGGGACATAATGTATAAAAAAAAAACAAAAAAAACTGTAGCATACAAATGTAATATCATGGTTCGAACTCCTTTGTCTTGGTGTCTCTGCCAGCTCTCTGCTGGAAAAGGGACTACATATCTAGGTGGCCCAAGTGGTATAAGAGAAAGGATATAGGTGAACGATACGATGAAATGTTGATTGGGTCCGTCAACAAAACTAAAATATTATATGTTAATCCGTGCTGTTATTAGTTCCATACCTTCAAATAGGTAACGTTAAATGATAGAAGTGGTTGTAAGAGGTAGGTACCTATGTACCTAATTCATGTACCTCCAATTAGTGCAGCTTATTCAAGCCTCGTTCAGCTACTATCGATAATGAACCTTATGCAATACCCCTACATTTGAATAGGTACTTACGTGTAGGTACCTAAGGCATATTCTTTTCCATCTCACAATTTATTACCTAGGTACGTTAGGTACACACATGTCTTCATGAACCAAGCGTTAGAGATGATATTCACATCATGTCCGAATACTGGAAATCAACTCCTAAATACTGGTGTAAGCATTGTAGCACCTACGTACGCGATACCAAACTCGAGCGTCAAAATCACGAAGCTACCGCCAAGCACCAAGGCTCCTTAAAGCGTTTCCTAAGAGACCTACACCGAAATCACGAACAAGAGCAACGAGAGAAAGATCGCGCCAAGCGGGAGGTCGAGAGACTTAATGGCGTAGTCGGTTCCGCCTCTTCGGATCATCACCATGCAGCGAGCACTAGTAGAACATCAGCTTCAGCCTCGTCGCAAGCGCAAACACAAGCCGCCGGTTCGCAACGTCAACAGCAATGGGAGCAACTGGCCGAGATGGGCATTGATGTGCCAACCGAACTAAGGGGAGAGATGGCCATGGCCAGCGAATGGACCGTTACTAGCAAGAGGGTTATCGATGATACACCCAAGGCCGAAGACGAATCAGATGCCAAACCTCAGAACGTCGATGCCATCGCGTCTGGCGTACGGAAGCGACCGAAACATGAAAGTGGGGTAGACGAGGAAGAAGAGGAGAATGCAATCAAGAGTTTATTCAAGAAGCCTAGGAAATGGGGTCGCGATACAAAACAGGCTCCGGAGGACGACGCAGAGCTAGACGCCCTGCTCAGCGGTGCCCTAGCGAAACCACCCAAGCTCGAGGATAATCCTCAGGATTCTATTGATGAAAAAGCCGACTTACCGAGCGAGACGAAAGAAAACCCAACATCTGATATAAAAAAGGAGGAAACGACCGACGACCAAGCCCTATGGTCTATCAAACTAGAGTCCCAAGAGAATCATCAAGATGCGCCCGTCAAGCAAGAAGGGAATGCGGAGAGCGACCCACCCACTGTGGTTTTTAAGAAGCGAAAGCCTAAGAACATTCGTCAGAGATGAGCCCCGTCTGACGGGATTCTATTCTAGTATTAGTGATCTCTCTAGGTCCTACTTGAGGTAGCCTAAGCGTCGCAAAGCTGGTCGCTTGGCTTCCTATTCTTATATCTACACGGAGCGTGTACTACTATTCGCATCGTGGTGTGGGGAGTCCGGATCTCGTAACCAGCATCGAAAAGCTATAGGCATACTATCTACTCAGTAGATCGGTTAGCAAAGAACCCGGACGCGAACTTGCCGCATATAATACCGGCTATCCTTGGTGCTAACCTCCTGGAAGATATCCAAACAAAAATTTATTCAATTACCAAGTCGAAGTGGATGTGGATGTGTATGTGCGTAAAGCCAAAACTCTAGCCACGCTAACATCAAGACCCGTCCATGAGTGAAACAAACGTACTATACGAGTTACCCTTGATAATTATCGTTTGTGGCCCCGGTATACAACGTCGGTACGCTGCTTCGAGTACTCCTGGGTTGAGAGGCTACGGCCTATGGAAGATATGACTTGGGTACACAATACAAGAAAACACGTAAGACTTGTAAATACAAGCATGTAGACAACCAAATATGGCATCGCAAGAAAGGAAGGGAAAAGTAAAGGATTAAACATCATTTGGATGAACCAGTCCCCATGCGTCCGACAGGGTATCACGAAATAGGGGCCGGGAACTTCCTAAGTAAATGAGAGAGGTTCTACTACGGCCGAGCGCCACTTGTCAACCTAGCATACTTAGGTTGTGAGCCAGCTAGCTGCGTATAATAGTCTACTATTTGCTTCCCCCCATTCAAAAAAGGTGATACTATGTTTAGTATTAAGGCTGCTTACCGTAGAAATAGCACTTTACTAAGTTGAGAAACATGTATAGAAGAAATAACATTATCACAATACGGCTATTGGTTATATTATTATACATAGGTAGGTACCTAGGTAAGCATATCTTAGCACAGGACATGACCTCGTAGTCTAAGTTAACTTGTTAGACTAGCCGTAGGTAAATAACTCTTTGCCGTTTCTTTGGAAGATATACCTTCATACATATAGAGCCATTGGTCTAGTCAATGTCACAAGAAAGTATTGCCAGTTAGATATCATTAATACTTAAAACATACCGGATTGCTCTCGTATTCCCTATACTATGAAACCTCTACGCGTATCGTATTATGAATCTACCAAATCAAAGCCTTGTGCTATTCCTATCAAGTTCCTGTTAAAAGTTGAGCCCATTGATTAGCTACCTTATCTAACCTACTTAAAGCTGCCAAGACAGAAAGCTCATATCCATACATGCCTATTTTGTTAGGATCTACGTACGAAATGAGAGAGGTGAGACATATTTTCAGCTGCAGTAAATCTAGTCTTGATATACAAGCCTCCGTAAGAATTTAGAGCATTCCTTCTTTCTCGGCGTCCAAGTCGGGTGTTGTTGGGGTCGCTACATATTGGTAACTCTAGGCGGGGTTTCTCAAGGACTCGTTAGCTCGTTAGCTTTGGATGATATATCGGTTGATTTTATCTCCCGTGTCGTGAGAGCAAACAGCGGGGTTTCGTCATCGGGGTGAGCTGCTGTATAACATGCGGGGACTTATATTATGTGATACGGACACGGCATAATAGCTGTTTTCGAATATTGATCGAACTTTCGCCGTGTTCTGGCAGTCTCGACTGCTTACGCACCTTTTCTCACATGGTGTTGTTCGCATCACATATTTTCTATAATTCGAGTACCCAAATAAGCTCCGGGAGGCTTATGGGGGTGACCGGTCTTCTGCTGGATCCCCCCATCCGTATTTCGTCTTTCACATTTCACCGATAGCTACCTAGGTACCTGGTAGGCATCTATAAAACTTCCCCTCCGCTCCCCTATCTAAGGTTCAATGGAGTTCTTTTTGTTCCGTGCTTCTCATTAAGTCACATGTAGCAGTCTTTGGCATGGATGAATCCAGCAACTGGGCTAGTCGGCCTTCAATTCAGTCTCAACACGGCCAACGCTCATATATGAAGAATATGGCGTCGTCACCGCCGTCGACAACTCATCATCGAATCGCTAGTGATGGTGTACCTCTTACCTCTAGGTCTCTACCTAATAACACTTTTGGATATACTCGCCCTTCCTCTATATCGCTTAGATCGCGGGAATGGCTTCCTATCATGGGCGCAACTAGACCGGCTAGTCCGTCAGTAACGACCTCGATAATGAATTGGCAAGACGATGGAGACCTCGGCTCTCAATCATTTACGATACCCTCGAACTTGACTCTAGATGCCTCCAATCGACACCAGAAGCCAGGTAGCTTTTACAAGTCCTCAGAGCTTTCTCGAGCACCACGGCCAAGGCCAGCTCCAATGCAGTTTGAGGATGCTCCTATGGATCACCAGTCCCCCGTTACATCCTCGCAATCCATTTTCTCTCCCCGCGACAGATTTCAGTATAGTCGTACAGACTCTCGCGCCAGTCTCTTGAATACGCCAAGTACAGTATGGAGAAGCCCCCGAACGCCACCCCCTTACTGTACCATGATGTCCTCTCCTAGGAAATGGTGGCATTGGCGGCCTGCATGGTTTATGTATCTGTCATTCCTCTTTGGCGTCGCTTGCGCAATTGGCCATCACGTATTTTATACGTCTTTGAACGGGAAGCCCGCCGTCGACCAGCTCGCTATGCTTCGATACGGCACGGTACTTTCATTCTCAGCCAAAGCTGGACTTGTAGCAGCTGTGGTCATTGCTTTCAAACAGAGGATATGGACTACTGTGAGGAGTAAATTTCTCAGCGTGGCGGCTTTGGATTCCCTATTTGCTGCGGCAGAGGATGCGTCGGCGCTGCTCAACATTGAGATATACAAACAAGCTAAGATAGCTATGCTCTTAGCGGCGTTTGTATGGCTGACACCTATAGTGATAATATTGACAAGCAATACTTTAACTATGGAATTAGCTTTGAGCATAGAGAATACGGCGTGCTCAGGTATCCGGACCTTAAATTTTACGAAAGATGAACTCGAGGTGACTAGCTTCCTTTTGCAAATGGTGCTTTCTCTCTATTTATGTCTAAGTAGCCTATAGGAATGGAGGAACCCTACCAAGTCCGATAATCTATATGGCTTGTCAATGTCGATATGGAATACGACAGCCTCTGATACTGCCTCGCCGGACTGGTTCGATTACTATGCCAGTCCCAGCAACCCCTTAATCCGAGTTGCAACCCATGCGGCGTTTATGGGGCAAGCGGTGAGTAAGAGTAGCATTAACATCGACATCTGTGGCTCTGGCTGGAATTGCACATACACTATCAACTTTACAGCGCCGGCGTATAAGTGTTCTGAACTTGCCAGTGGTGTTGGATCAGAGATCAAGACGCTTGGAAACCAGAAGCCTCCGGACGGGCTTAGCACTAAGCTCCTCGTCCCCGAAGGTGATTATAGTTACTATGCCTACACGAGTGGCGGCGAGTATTCCACCCAGCAGATGAAAGATACTAGCCCCGGAGGTATCCCAAATATGGAGCCGCCATTTCCTGAAGCTTTAGGAGCATTCCGTACCGAACCAGTGATATGGATAGGGTATTCTGTGAGAACTAATCCGAATGAAGTGCCACCTCTCAACAGATCGATGCCAGGTTGGAGCGACGCCTTCATTCCTAAGGTGATTGGATGCGAGCACTACGAGACCGATTACACTGTCCTGTTTAACCTGACTGGTGGCCAGCAGATTACAAAAGTGACGGAGCGTAAATTCCAACACCGTATTATAGAGTAAGTGGGGATCACCAGCGTGGAAATATTCAGCCCTTTGGAGGATGACCAGGCAATTGGGGGTTTCCTGTTCCGACTAAATGTTCAGTTAACACAGCCGAGTAATACTAACAACACCTAGTACGACCTGGATCCAAGGTACGGATGCAAACGATGGTACAAACGACAATACCACGGCGCGACCGAAAAGCAATTATATCTACCCAAGAAATGTTCGTAAGTACCGCCGGGTTGCAGCATTTCATGCGATGGGCTTTCAGCTGCGGGAATTCCTGAACGGTACGATGAACTCAGCACAGCTCAACAATCCAATTGGAAACACAAAGGCAGATCAAACGAGGTTACTAGACCCTAGACACGACTATTTCGCATTCCCAACCCTTGTGAATTTGGTACAGGAGTTGTACGAAGACATGATAATTTCGTTATTTTCGAACGGGCAGTTTCTCAGCGTCGTATGGGCAGCTAAGTCGGACGTGATGTCCGGGACAGGCGCCGGAGACGAGTCAACCAAGTACCCCTGCGTCCGGTCCCGGCTGGACACTCTCGCGATCCTAGAGAATGAGGGGGTGCTGCGCAGTACGCGCTTCTCCAGCATCGTAGCAGCAACTCGAGGACCGGCGTTAGAAAAATTGGGTTGGGTTGGAGAAGATCGGGGCAATTTACCGCAAGACATTAAAAACCTAAAGGTTGGCTACGGAATCGTTCATAGGATGAGCGGTCTCGAGGTTCTACAAGAGGATACGCGATATCCCGAAAGAAGGGTTTGGGATGGCGGTGATGTGCATATGGTTTCGGATTAGAAGGTGACGTCCGGCAGCTGAGGAGTGAGGGTAGTATATTCCGTCAGAGGTGAATTTTTATATACGTTTAAATATATCTACCTGAAGTAGATGGATTGCGGGGCCAGTGTGAAGGGTTTAGTAAACACCAAAATGTATAAATTAGGTATATTTCATCTTGACTACATTAGGTACTTATTTTCGTACATGGGAAAAGTAGATTTTACGCTGCAAAGCCCGGCGATCTTATATCAGACATATCATATCACATATCAGACATAATAGACGTATCATCGTATTAGCCACATGTGGCGTTCATTGGTTGGTCTACCCAAACCAAACCTACGGTAAACCTGGAGTAAATCAAAATATGGTCCGAACGGGTCGCACGAATTCTCCAAACCCAAGTTGGACCCCTCTCCCCCCCCCAACTTAGACAATCAACCATCATCTTGTCGTATAAGGATAACCTTAGTATTATAACATTTCGCAGCATTCGAAACATTGGCAGCTGGCTGGTACATGGCCTATAAAAGCAACTGACGTATCCTACCTAGGTAGATCAGCCGAGTCTTAATCGTGTACACATCGTACCTAGAAAAAGTCGTGGTCGGACTGGATAGACGGGGTGGACACGAAAGAGCGCACGACATAAGATCAGTACATACGAAGTACAGAAAAAGGGCGTTAAATCCCGATGATGACTGGATATGGTGAAGTGGATCAAAGCCATTCACATCATCATTCCTATCACTCCTGCCACTGCTTCGATGGGTAGAGGGTCCAGCCCTAGACTAGCTTCTCTCGCGGCCACTTCCCGTTAGAGCCGCTGTCGCGATCCCCTCTTCCTACCAGGGCATATCCCGGCTCGAAGGGAGGATCGTTGGCTTGATTGAGAGATTGAGCGGTCACGATAGCCGCCACTTGTCTCCATTCAAAGCCTGCATTTTTCTTCGCTATGTAGATGACTTGATAACGAGAAGCCAAGCAAATCGTGCGCTGCCCGATCCCTCCCCGATTGACTTGACACTGCCGTTCGTCCTCCTCCCGCACGATCAAGCAGCGATTTACAATTCACCCGTCTTCCACTCCCACTATGTGCTACAACGTAGTAACGAGGCGAGCGCGCTGAGTATGATAATTTATGACTGGATTAAGACAGTCCCTTGAAATTGGTCAATTGTAATAATGCCTACTTAGGGTAGTCTAATTTATCTTCGGCTTTTTGCGTTAGTAGGTAGTTATGCTTGTTCACGCTCTCTTTTTCCTACGTACGTACAACCTTAGTATTATACCTATTACCCCCTTTCCCCCCGGTTTTTTTCCTCCTTTTTTCTTCTTTTTTTTTTTTTTTTTTCTAGGCGGCCTCCAAGCTGGATCTTTCCGATCCGAGCTTCTGGAATTACGAAAGCGGTCGCATACGGTACGCCATTTCGTTTGTACAGATGCAGCGTAAAATGGGCCTGCGAGTAAAAGATAACATCATATTGCATACTGATCTCACTTATCCCTCGTGCGCCTCGGCCGCCACAAAGTCGTCAACAACGTGGTGCAGTTGAAGCGCCTGCACGCACGCCTGATCTACCCCTTACCCAGCCAATCAACGATACCTTTCTCCGAGACCGATAGCCCGGACGGATGTGCTGTTGGTCCTTGGGTGGACTCTTGCCAAAACAGGTGGTTTTCTTTTCCCTCCTCTTATATTGATCGGTTAGGTCGTCGGCTCTCATAGTACTTATACTACTTAAAGTAATCCGTACTTAGTTAACCTAAATAAAACTCATGTTCTGCCCGCGAAGTTCTGTCAAGTGCATCGATGTTTAGACCTCCTATTCCCACTTTATTATCCCCGTCCATGTTCAGCGATCCCTTCACCGCCGCGTGTTGGCCGGACAGACAAATGACAACCGTGCTAGTTAGCTAACCGGTTGCGTTCCCGCCTCGTCCCTTTTCCCGCTACTTCATAAGTAATTAAACTAGAACTCATCTTTGTTGTTTTCATTCCCAACTTTATAGGAGAATAACAAGTGTTGCTATAATGCCTGTGGAAGTTGTTACGATCGTGAACTCGTCGGGGAAGATAATCAGCAATGTAAGTTTGCAGCCATGACCTTTCACAATTTCGTGTTACTTGTCGCTGTTACCGTCATAATATTATGACTATTACACTATTACACTACTACCGGTGCTACATCTACACTATCTCTACAATATGCCCCGCAAAAAAATATCTCTTTTCCTTCCAGCGTTCTCAGTCCAACATAAGCAGAGAGCTTTTTTCATTTTATTTATCCTATTGCCGATATGTAACCTAACAATTATCGCTTCGACAGGGTAGACACCTGATCAATGTTCTTAAAGAAGCCAAGGCCTCCTATCAAGAGAAAAAGGCGGCTATTAAAGCTGAACGCGCCATCAAGCGTAGTGAGACCATCGACATACCGAGTGCATCTCGCTACTATGACGGCATCGAATATGATAGGTGGCCTCGCCGGGCGTCTCACGATGACGCTGCTTCTCAAGCTTCCTCCCGTAGAAGCTACCGCTCAAAGCGGTCTACTTCCAAGGCGGGAACTGCCTTGACTGAACGCAATCTAAAGACTCTTACTGAAGTCTCCTCTACGGCTCCTTCGCGCCCTCCAGGTACATACCATTCTCCGTATGCCGAGACAGCCCCTAGAGACATGACATTGAGTCGACCAACATTAGCGCATGCGCCAACGATGCCTATCTACGCCGGTGAGCTGGCCGGTTCGACCCCGACGCATATCGTGCCTGTGTCCCGATCAACATCGGATCCGGCCCTAAGGGAGAAGGGGAAGGATATTGACATGAACTTAGCTTATGGAAGTCTTCCTCCGGATCTAGAAGAAAGGGTGGACCTAGATCCCGTCCACAAGAATGTCGAAAAAGAGCGCGAAGCAATGAGCGTAATAGAGAAGATTGAGAACCTACTAACGGAGGCTCAATGTTTACACCATACTGCGACGCATATCATTCAGCATCTACAGGGAAACCCGGAAGCTGCCGCTGCTGTTGCTCTTACGCTTGCCGAGCTTTCTGCGCTACTAGGAAAGATGTCGCCTTCTTTCCTTGCCGTCCTCAAAGGTGGAAGTCCTGCAATTTTTGCTCTTCTAGCCAGCCCCCAGTTCCTTATTGCGGCTGGTGTGACAGTTGGAGTGACGGTGGTCATGTTTGGAGGTTGGAAGATTGTGAAGCGTATCCAGGAAGCTAACTCTGCTGCTGCTTCTCCGATGGCTTTCCCGGCGTACCAACCAGCGCCTGGTGAAGCCAACCGGGCTCCATATCCGGAATCGGAAGTAAGCGCGGGCTTTGACGAGGCTCTTGTGCTTGAGGAAGAGTTAAGCAGTATCGAAATATGGCGAAGGGGCATTGCACCTTTTGGCGAGGATGGTCAGGCCGACCTTGAGCTTATCAGTCCAGAAGCTGATCGTGCGATTCGCAGTCAGTACGGTGGTGATGATGCGCGGACCGAGCGTAGTGTTCGCACGAATCGAACTGGTCGCACAGACAAGACATCCAAGACAAGTAAAACGACTAAGACTAGCAAGTCGCACAAACCACAGAAGAGCCGGAAGGGCGACCCGGGAGAGCATCATGACGTTCCCAAGGACGGTAGCAGCAGTAGCGTCAAAGATGTCGATAACGCGAGTGAGGCGGGTAGTCACCGAAGCCACCGAAGTACCCAGAGTCATCGGAGCGATAAGACAGAACGTCACTCCAAATCTAAGCGGTCCGAAAAAGTAGAGGTCAAGGCCATCGACGACAGTCGCAGCGACCGAGAAAAATCCGACAGCGTCGTGCTTCGTCCGAAGAAGGACAACATGCTTAAGTCCTTATTCAAGAAGAAGAAGGACCGCGAAGATAAGGAACGGGCTTACTCGGTTGTTCGGTGATGTTGTTTACATTTGAGGTTTCGTCCATCTTCGGTTATATGCATCGAATTGCAGAATAGGAGGATACCAGGCTCCTTAGATTTCAATGTTCATTTACGGGAGTTTATGGGTGATATTTATTTTATATATATATTAGCATGATGCATATAGCGGGTGGTCGCCCATCACGAAATCTGCTTTATAGCAGTTAGCTTACTTAGGAACGAAGACATACGAAGACAATGCAGAGAGTGAAATTCGCATAGCATGTCCCCAAATTTGAGACGCCTAGGTATAGTTTGAGTGGTGTGTTTTTGCATCTTACGATGCAAGATTGACTATTTATATATGTGTGATAGGCAATGCAATATGTAGATCCGGAAGGATTCAAAGGTAAGGGCCGTTCGGTTTACATAGTAAGAGTTGGCATGCTTTCTGGTTTTTCGGCAGCTTAGGTAGGGATGGGACCAAAACGACTAGGTAGATGCCTATTAAATATAGATTCTCGCTAGAAATTAACCAAATGAAGAAATTATATGTTCGTATAGTAAGCATAGATATATGTTGGCCTGATAGCCTTTCATCCCTAGAGCCCTGCTCCACTGGTATCGTATACATAAGTCTCAAGGAGAGAAAACATCTAATGCCACGCAGCTGCCACGTTATATCACATATGTAGGTCTAGATATGTACTTGAATATACTCTTTGGGCAGTCAGCGTATCTCTTGTAGAGGTGCTAGTTTATTTCCGCGGCAACCTATAGGTATATTACCTATAGTTGCTTTCTTTACTTAGGTAGGTATTCCTACGGGCTTATTATTCCGCTTCCCTCAGCCACTGTCATCCGTGTGTCCTGCAGTACCTGCATCTTTGGGCAGGACGGCGGTACGTACCGAGCCGATCGAATGCTTATTTTGGAATAAAGCCGTTGGTTCCTTAACAGCCGTTCTTAACAGACGTTCTGGACCGAAGGGTTCAAACGTTCGATCCCGTCTAGTGGCTACCGACTAGGATCATCTCATCAGCTTCTGTGGGGCAAGAGGTTCATATCACTCGTATTCCTTGAATTGCATCTGGAGCGCTATTGTACGCTCTCCTGGCTCCCATCGAGTCAAGTTGGCTAGAGATTTACCTTTGTAGTCTTGCTGCGTTCCTATGTAAGACCTGCATTTGAGAACGAACGTTGATGTAACTCATCTGGTTACAGGCTGGCGCACAGGCGATAGCCACAAAATGCCACCCCATGATACATACCTACGTACAAAACAACCCATGCTAAATCCCCCTGCGCTGCCAAGATCCTATTCTAGGAAATTCTACACTAGAAGCCCACGTTGGCTGGTAGCATCTAATTCGCCCGTTATTCTGCGAGACTCCCTCTCATTGGTCCCCTTGGGCATTTCTCTCCGTTTCAATTAACTCCATCGAGGTGACGACTAGACCTAGAACAGTCATGTAGAATATCCCCAGTACACTAGGACTCTGATAAAATCTCGGGCTGAAAGTTCCCAATGCTGAAGCAGATATTTAAAGCTGCGATGCCCAGCTCATTTATGCGCAAGGAAGTGGGATTTGACAGGGACATACTTAAGGTCTCCGTTTGAAATTTCTTTCTATTCTATTCTTTTTACCCTGGGATACTCAACCTCAACTTTCACCGATCCTGGTGTATCCTCTCCTTCGTTTTCACTTCGTTTTCACTTAGACAGCTTCCAGCTCGCGGCTGTGATAATTAATAGACTGTTATACTGTGGTCCTGTCGATTACCAAGGCGCAGCTTTTCACTGTTCTCTGTAGATCCCCATATAATTGCGCAATACTACTACTCTTTGCCGATCACATCGTCGTCCCTCGATCTCCCCACTCGTTCCCACTTCTTAAGCTTCTCTCGAGATGTCGGAGGACGCAGGTGCCACAGGAGCACCCGCTGCTCATGCGCAACAACACTATGGCGAACCGACCGCGCTTCATATCTCGACCGAGCAAGAAAAGAGACAACCTACTGTGCAGGAAGATATATATCCTACGTCACCCCGACGGAATACAACGACGCCAAACCCCTTCAGCCGGAGAAACACGAGCATGGATATAGAAAATTATTTTGTACGGTACAAATTCCAATTATGCTGCGTAACGAGTGCTAACTCTTCCATTGTTTAGACCGGTCCTCGTGATCTCTCTAAGCACTCAAAATGGCCTCTGTTCATGCAGCTACACGGCAGCATTCTCCCCAAAATGATTGTCCCCCTACTTGTCGTCGCCGCCTGGGCGAGTCTTGTCACTGTCGTCTCAAAGAAGGTCCCAGGGGTTAACTTGGGAATCAGTTCCATCTTGCTCACTGTTACTGGTTTCGTCGTGGGTCTGGGCTTATCCTTCCGCAGCTCGACGGCGTATGAGCGATATGCCGAGGGCAGAAAATACTGGAGCCAGTTGATATTCACCTGCCAAGGACTCGGCCGAGTCTTCTGGATACATGCCGTCGAACGCGAGGGATCTTCCAAGAAGGACCTACTAGCGAAATTGTGAGATTCCGATCAAAGCTTTGACGTATGTCCATATCTGCTAACTAGGGCTAGAACCGCCATGAATTTAATCGTAGCCTTTGCGGTATCCTTGAAGCACAAGCTCAGATTCGAACCGTACACGTACTACGACGACCTTGTAGAGTTAGTCGATCATCTTGACACCTTTGCTAGATCTGCCACGGAAGAAAATGCGATAAAGCCGAAGTCGGGATTGTTCAAGGCGGTTGGAGAGAATCTCGGTTTATCATTTGCAGCTTCGAATCCCCGGAAATTAATGAAGAAAGCCGAGACCCCCCTGGGCAATCTTCCACTAGAGATCCTCTGTTATCTCACGGCATACGTAGATGAACTGGCGCTCAATGGCCAATTACCTGTTGGAATGCAACAGACTTCCGCCTGTAAGTCGTTTCCAGCTGAATGAACGCGCAAGTTTTACTGACATGACATAACCTACAGACAACCAACTTCAAGCCTTGAACGACGTCCTAGTCGGTACCGAGCGAGTTCTTAATACCCCCCTTCCTATTGCTTATGCCATCGCTATTTCGCAAATCACATGGATTTATGTGTTCCTCCTGCCGTTCCAATTGTTTCTCGAACTTGACTGGATCACAATTCCGGCTACCGTAGCTGCGTCCTATATTATCCTAGGCATTTTTTTCATAGGTCACGAAGTTGAGAACCCTTTCGGCAACGATGTCAACGACTTACCTCTAGATCTATTCTGTCAGCAAATCGTGCAGGATATGGAAACCATTGCGGCACGGCCCAAACCTCGCCTCTCGGAATGGGTTGAGAACCCGAAGAATAAAGTCTTATATCCTCACAGCGAATCGGGCTACAGCGTATGGGCGCAGCGACCCGAGTCAGCCATTCGGAGCGCGCTACGGAACCGGCCCCATGCCGGGTTTGACAAGATGGACGGGAGTAGCGGAACGGGAGCTCAGAGCGTATAAGATTGCGACGTCGGACTACTTGTAAGTTATGGACAAGTTTCGGTTTTGCTGTGACTCTATCCATTAATAGAAGCAGCTCTCCCAAACATAAACCATGCTCTTACATACTCCTTAAGGGAAGCCCATTATTTCCGCGAAGCTACCTATATATACTTACATTTATGGAGTTTTCTCCATAAGTTCTTTCTTTTAATCATGGGGACAGGAAAATAAAACAGCGTGTTGGCGGTATTTGTACTGTTTGGTTTGGGTTTAGCGGGACTGCGTTTAAAAAATAATCTTATTCGTTAAGGGGGTAGAAAAATAAGGATAAATGTGTGAATTAACGATGCTATTAGGCATGGAACGTTAGGAAAATGCATATATCGGTACCTATATATTTGAGAATACATTGATGTTGCGGTTTTGATTTAATTCATAAAATTCTTTATTATAAAAATCCCACTTGAAGCTGTAGCTCGACATGCAATATCTCTATGCTCTGTACCCGTCATCATCTCATAACCAAATCCCCCCCTCCAACTAGCTGATTGGTAAGTGGCACGCACTTATGATGAGGAAAACGTACCACGAGCCGACTAACAATCTGCGGCTACCCCGTGATGTACGGGATATACTATGGCTCCTTCTTTAAAGCTGTACTGGCTATCTCTCCTCGATGCGTATTGAGACCATTTACAAGAATAACTCGTACTAAATATTCACTCGATCGGAGGTACATAATGTCTTCAAGCGATGCCACGAAAGGGAAAGACGGGCTCAAAAAGCGATCTGTCGCAGGATCCTTTCTTTTCAAGTTCCCCCACGGCGACGTGAGGAAGGCCCAAGTAGCCTTGTTTAAACGCAGCGGTAAGGTCAGTACTTACCAGCACAAATTTGCTCCCATATCCGGCAGTGTCGAGAAGTACGATGCCACTCCACTCGCCACCGCTTTGCGGGAGATCAACGAGGAGACGGGATTGACACCGTCCTCGATCGAACTGTTTCGCGTCGGTAAACCATACTCTTTCATCGATGAGTCTGTTGGTCGCGAGTGGACCATCAATCCATTCGGCTTTCGTCTCAAAGAAAAGTCCGAAGGAGGGAGAGGTGAAGAGGGGATCACCATCGACTGGGAGCATGAAGGATTTGAATGGTTCAATCCATTAGACGTGAATGGGTCGGACGAGTTTGGTGGCGTCCCGAAGCTCGTCAATAGCTTGCGAAGGGTGTGGCCCGAGTACGATCTGGGCCAGAGAGCGGCTGAAGTCCTAACGTCCGGCCTACAACAGCTGCGAGATGATCATGAAAGCGGTGCTAGGCAGCTTGCCGACCTGGCGATATCAACCTTGAGGAATCTTATTGTAGAGATGGATTCCGATGTGATTGATGACAACTGGTGGGCGAATATCCGAATGGCCGCATGGCATATCTGTCAAACTCGCGAGAGTATGGGAGCCGCGATCACTAGTGCTACAGTCAAGGCACTCGACCGAATTGAGAAAATAATCACACAAGACATACCGACACGAGAGAAGGTTCGGATGATTGCCGATGCCCTTGAGAACCAGTTGAGCCAACGTAAATATACGACCGATCGCATTCGTGACGCATTCGTCGACTATCTCCGCCAACATGTTATCCAATCTATAGGATCCAAAGAAACTATTTCTATCCTTACACTGTCCTCTAGCTCTACTATATCGGCATGTCTTTTGCAGGCTGCTGCCCGCCTAGGCGTTTCGGTTGACCTTCGTATTCTAGAATCGAGACCCCTCTACGAAGGTGTGACTTTAGCCTCGAAGCTGCTCGAGGTAGAAAACGATTCGGTAGATTTAAATATGACACTCTATACAGATGCCTCTTCGGCTCTGGCCGCTGACGGAATCGATGTCGTCGTCCTTGGGGCTGACCGCATTAGCACATTGGGCGACGTTAGCAATGTAAGTCAATACGTATACCGTATATCCTTCGTTGTCCTTTACCAGAGCTCTGCTAGCATCAGTACTCATGTACTAATCGTACCCTTAGAAAATTGGATCACTCCCTGCCATTCTCTGCCAGAGACATGTTGCACCAAACGCAAAGGTTGTTATACTAAGTGAAACGGAAAAGATAGCTCGCCCAGGCTTGATTAAAGATCACCTGGCGGAGGAAAATAGCCCAACAGAACTCGTACGTGCGTGGAAGGGAATCGTAAAAGGTGCTGATCTCGTCGAAAAGGTTTTGAGTGACGGTGAGCATGATGAAGTACGAGGGAAAAGGGTCCGCGTAAGGAATTCATACTTTGAATGGATTCCTGCTATCTTCGTCCATGCTTATGTCACTGACGAGGGGCTTTGGTCCGTCGAAAATATTATAGAGAGATCAAACTGGATCGGCAAGGAGACAGACAGGTTTTTCAAGGATCTTTAGTCGAGTTGTAAGAGAAAAAAGACCAGACCGTTCACCAGGGTCGACTCACACATATTGGTTTAGCCGACCGAGAAACTGCGTGAAGAATGTCTAGTTATCGGTATGCTAATATACATGTATTATATCGTGTCTATATTTGCAACATGACATCGACATGGGATTTTGTCCTGAGAACGTTGCAATTCGCTAGCTTTAGGTTATCAAAAATGAGTACCTTGGTGGACTATTTGCTATTATTAATAACCATAGATTCCCCCAAACCGCGGATTTGATACCTAATTTGTTTAAATATGTCCATTCCTATGACAGAAAGTCATTCACTCCACTCAGCTTGGGATGTAATAGAAATCAGGGAATAAAATAATATTTTAATTAATCGGGTATGCTATCAAACGAGGCTAGCCCGCCGTAACCTTGGTATACCCTCAGTATTACCTTTGCTGACCATCTCGACTAGGAGCTCCTCCGTGGCTCTAAAGATCCGACTCAGTAGCTCATAGACGGTGTGTAGAGGTCTGGCTAAGAATGCATCTAACACACTCCGCTGGGTATTGTGTTGCTTCCTGTGCGCCTGCTGCTTGAGTACGCAGCGCCCTCACCGAGACCACGCTTAGCGAATGCAGTCCAGCTAAAACGTCATTTGTCAGTTATCGTGTTGGTTTGAGTTGCTAGATTTACTTACAGCTCGCAGACGTTGTCACCGCCGGTCAATGCCTCGTCAGCGTCAATGATGGCATCACGGGCTTGAACGAAGTTGGGGTTGCAGGGTTGGCTAGAAAGAATAGAGGGTCAGCTCATCGCACTATCTCAAGGCGTCACGCCATGTCTTGGGTTCAGGTACTTACAGGGCCATAGCGTCAACAACAAGCTTCAGAGTCAGGTACTTTCCGTCGGTCGGGACACCGTTCTGGTCGAATTCAGGCTTGGGACCGTCATTCTTGCCGTGCTTGTCGATGAGATTCCATAGGACTTCGTACAAGATCGTAGCCCACACCTCACCAATATCGTGCACCTCATTGTACGTGTTAAGCGTGACGTATTGGTATGGGTTGGTGTCGAGGCTTGTCGAGTATAGATAGTTTCGGATGCCCTCGGGGCTGTTGTAAACCCACGCGCCTAAGCTGTAATCCGTATTCCGAGTGTCGCCAGGCTGTAGGCGGATAGCTGTTGCGAAGAAGTCGCCCCAGCCCTCGCCCATACCACCCGATTCAAGCGCGTTCAGGCAGTTGGAGTTTGCAGGGCCACCGGTCAGGCGGTTCGACACTAATACGGGAGAAATATCAGCCATGTCATTTCTTCGGGCTACTCAATAAAGAATGGATTGTCACTTACATCCGTGACTGTATTCGTGGATAATGACGCCGGCCTCGAAGGCGCAATCTCTATAAGGGGTCGACTCTGTCCAAATGTACATCCTCATCCGTCCGTTCTGTCCATCGGGAGGGGTGGCGAAGTTAGCATTGTTGGTGCCGGAGCCGTCCTGCGCGTTGAGGATGACGAAGTCGTTACCCTTGCCACCCTGTCCGTTGTTATTGGTTTCGAAGTTGCCGGCCTCCTCGGTGAAGCCGAGGTCATACAGTAAATCATGGTACGTGTTCGCCGTATAGAAGAGCTGAGCGACCGAAGCATCTGCGTACGTTGACGGCGGCGTCAAAGTTGCGTCCCACTTATACTCGAACTTTAGGGACGAGCTGTCTGGGCGATAGTTGTTGAGATAGTCTGATCCACCATCCGGGTTGGTTTGCGCAATGCCGTTGTCTGTGGATAAGATTTAAGGTCAGTCGTTACATCCTAAGCGTGCACTATACGTGCAACGAGCTATATGTCGCCATAAGACGACACAGTAGATGGTTTGGAAATTAACTCACTTCCGCGTGTAGTCGTGTAGTTGGTCGTTCCGTCGGATATCCACGTGAACTCGGATGTCTGGAGGTCCCACGGGTCCGTTACGACTTCTCGCTCGCCCACATCGGGGTCGTTTACTCCCCACGGGCTATCGGGGCATTAGACACGAGGTTGCGAATGGATGTATAGATTATACTCACTATACCAGGTACGTAGCATCGGCGACGTAGTCGACCACACCATGAACTTCTTCGTTGGTGTTTGCATCAACGTACGACAGTAGCCAGTTGTCTAAGATGTCGGTCTCTATCCTCCATGTAAGAGCTAGGTTACCGTCAGGCTTGGCGAAGTAGACTAGGCGGGCTTCTGGGTCTTTCATCGCGCCTGAAGTTCCTTTGAGCACAAAAGTTTCGGTGCCGTCGGTCGCCTCCGCGGAGGCGTCCCCGGTTACAGGTAATTCCAAAAGTTTAGTAGCCCCCGAGAGTGCTTGCGTCGGGTCTGAGAACTCCCGCTTCTGAAGAGGGCTTTCTTCGGGGATGGAACCCGTGAAAAATGAGTTACCGTATGAGAAGACATTCCCATCGGCGCCAATCTAATAAGCAATTAGTTTCAAACTCATCAACTTCTCCCATAGCTACCGGCTTCGAGGCTTACATTGACATTGAAGTCGGCATTGTCAATATCCAACCCATGAGCCGTCTGCTTGAAGTTGACGTGAGCAATCCCGTTCTTGCCAACGTAGTGGTCGTCAACGAGGCGGAACGTGGCTCCGGGGACAGTACTCTTGACGAGCTCAGTCGCGGTGTCGACGTAGGAATCCCGTTTTAGAAGACGGACGGCCTTGTTGGTGCTTGCTGCAGCCTTGTTCGTATACTCGGCCGTCTCCTTTAGACGGTAGGCATTTAGGTCTACCGTCCGGCGCCGGAGCCCAGCCTTGTAAGATTGGGTAGGGTGGCCATGGGCGGGCAGTGATGCGCCTAGAAGGCCGAGTAACAACAATGATCGGATCATCACGAAGGAGAAGCAGCAGAGACGAATTGCTGTGCTTGTGCTTGGGCTTGATGGTTCTACGATCGTTCAACGTCGAGTGTTTATATAGCTCGAGCTTCTTGGTATTCGGCCTCGACCCTGGTATCCTTCCTCATTGAACTTCCTCTTTCGAAAAGGTTCGTGATGACTGACAGACATGATGCTTATCGGTAGGGTTGGAGTTTAACATGTCTTGATTTGTCGGCCTACTGACTACGGTCGTGTGCCGTTGACCGAACATCTCACAGATATTCCTCCGTTCGAGAAAGCCGTCAAGATTCACGAGCACAGCTCCCTCCCATTGGCGGGATGCACAATAAGCTTGACAGCTTCCCCCCTGCTGATACGAGTTCACGAAAGGAAAGTGATTGTCAGTTGCAGCGGCATACCACACGTCTTGACAGGGGCCTATGGCGTTCGGAGTAGGTTCCCTGAACACGGTAGGCCGGCTGGCTGGCATGCCAAGACGTCGGAGGTTTGACTGGGACGAAATAGCGCCGGACTGCTCTATCGGTCGGGCTTCAATTTCACGATACGGTGTACCCACACACCGGACAAGGCTTAACCCTTTATTCGATTAGCCTCGTGGGTTTTCCACCTGGGCCTTGAATTGCAGTCGCTTTCTTTAGGGCTTTAGAGTTATCGTTTGCCTCCTTTGCAGTATATATATTTTCAACACCCCGAGCTGCCAGGGCGCCTGATGGACTACAGACAACCACTACGAGCTCGTTAATGCTATTGGAGCTTTGATATGCATTCATGCAACTTCCAATTCGAGAATGTCTCTTCTGCTCACATCTCTCAAGTATATCTCGACTACCTATGGCACATTCTTGTCAAGGCTTAGCTCCAATCTTTTGGTACTCCCGGGGGTCAGCCTTGGCGCATCGGCTGACCTCCGCTGCGCCAATGTCGCAATCTGTATCCCGGCAGACGAGGAAAGCAAGACTACCTCGTTAGGGCGGGTGTGTGACGCGCTGAGTCCTATGGTAGGACATGTTGAGATAAGGACTCTTAGCTTGGCAGATGCAATATTTGTTGCTTAAGTCCTAAGGCTGCCCTCTGCGAGAGAAAGCTATAGGCCTATCCCCTATTAAGTTGTCATTATAAATTGACCTTGGCTGTTAGACGGCCGCGACTGGTCTGGCGCTTAAAACAGTGGTCGATAATACTACAACTCTTATGACCTGGGAATTGATTGGTGGTTGTATTGCAGACCTTCCTAGAGAAGTAAGACGACCGAGACTTGGACCACGATATTGCAACTTTATCGCAAAGCGAGCCAGATACGAAGCAATTGTCAGGCACGACAGCTTACTGGTTCTGTACTCTCTCTAACCTGTTTATCACTCCCTCGGCTTCGTCGCATACATAGCAAACTAACGATTGAGGAAATGTGTAAGAGAGGTAAAGAGGTTGAAGCTCACCCGGGTCACCTGGGTTGTTAATGTATGCGTAGTAGTGCATTACAATCCTGGGGGTGATCCCGAAGTTTGCGAAAGGCCTAGATTCTCCGCACGTTGTTGGACTTCCCCAGACAACGAGTCTAAAATACCTATAACGAATGCCTATAACGTAGGGCTTTGACTAACTACTTCTATATCTGGACGTTGCATTGAAGACTTTTTTCTATAACAACTAATTCTTTAGAGCACCTAACCTAAGGGTGAAGTATGACTGGGTAACGTGCCACTGTTCGTTCCACTCAACCCTAGTGTCTTTGAGCTTGGCATACTGAACCCCCAATTGTTCGTAGCCAGGTAACACCATGCTGGTATGGGGGAAACACGGTTCTTTCGCCGATTTAGTTGTAGATATACTCACCGAGGCTTCTAGTGAGCTCGTTTCCTCTTTAGGCCATCCTTTCGCCCTAATGATAATACATAATACGATAGCATTGGCATGACCTACCTACCTATAACAGCCGTTATATGAGGGGTTCCAACTGCCTCATCGGCTTAGCTTTAGTAGGAGGTGCTCGAGCGAACTTGGCAATCTCGTATGCGTTAATTGGGGCTGCGATAATCGATTTCGCGATGAAGTATTAATGGGACTTTTGTTAAGTTGTCCCCCAAACGGCCTTACCTGTCCTGTCTTGTGCAATGGACTCTAACGTTTACATAATAGCGGGGATGCAGATATCTCAACAAGCAATCAGGCGAATCGTATGATTTTGCCATCTCAACTCCAAGGATGGTTGGTAATGCCATTACCTGACAGGTAACGTTAACCATCTCATACTGCCCTTGTGTATTATAGTATAAATTATAACCTGGCAGTGAACGAATATGGGTTTTAAGAAGAAGACGGAACAAGACCGCACGACGGGATGGAGGGTTAAGCATCTACAGGATAGAATCGAGAGAAGGAAAATAACAGTCTGTCGTTATGGGAAGGCGAAATATATGCAAATCAACGCAATTAAACTGGCCTCTTAGGTCCATTCAGTTGGACTTCCTATCTGCTGTTTGTAATATCAAGAAGCGGCTGGTCTAGTCGTCTATAGTGACATTCGAAGATTTTGCTCACCGTAGCCTAATGTATAGCCTCTAATATGGTAGTAATGTCCCCAATTATGTTTTGGGATTGGGACTCCGAGAGAAAGGGAGAGTTGAATATGCCAATATCCATATTACCCTCACGTATGGCCACTTCGACATCCAGTGTATGCTGTTGATCGTTAGCGTCGTCGTGTCCCTGTTTTGGATGGATAAGAATGAACTCACCATATACACCTCCATCGCTTCGTTTTGTGATGTAAAGCGCCCATTTGGTCGTGGAGCGCTCCACGATGAGCCGTCACTATCGGGGTTTGATATCGGATTATCAGATATTTCGGTCATCGTAACACTGCGCGTCGTGTATGCGGTGCTTGGATTCATGGGGGAAGCGAGGAAGTTGACAGAACTCTCAATCCGTATCCCCGTCCAAACGTAAATCTCCCACAAGCTCACGCTAGCATTCTCAAAGCTACTGATTTCAAGAATATCTTTTTGAATCTCAATAGCTAAATTAAGGACTGACTGGGTCAACGGGTTTCTGACGAGAAGAGGTACGATGCTCAACGTCGGAAATGGCGCTTCTTCAATGCCAGTAAAGCTTGTTCTATTTGCGAGATAAACTCCAAAAACAACGTCTCTATTATGTTCGCCTGGTTCGTCGGACTGCCGTATAGCTGCTAAAGCCTTTGAGTAGGCTGCGAAAAAGAGCGCCTGCAGCGTTACCCCGTGGGCTGAACCTACCATTTTAACTCTCGACACGTTGTTTATCGCATTGCGCCTAAACAGTGATATTACCCCAGTCTTCTGAATATCTGCTGAAGTGTTTTGCAGAGGCAGCATGCGCGTTGGGGCTATTCCTCGAAGATATGAAATCCAGAACTTTTGTCTTCGCTGCTGTATAGTAGGGGAATAGTGACTCAACACGAACTCAGACCACCTAGGTTGATAAGCGCTCAGGGTCGGTGTCAGGCTATTCTCGCATATCTCTAAGAAACGGCTCATTAAAATTGGCAGGCTGATGGCATCGTATAGGGCATGATGAATCTGTAGATGAACAAGGTGGTTTTCTAGGCTTAAATTCTCAACGCGGATATATAAGAAGGGCGTCACGGACTCCTCGTAGACCTGGCGACCTTGTACGATATCCGGCGGGTTGTGCTTGGAATAATCTATCGACATTGATTTCGTAATGATTTGGACGAAGGGGATCTCGGTGGATTTGGTCGCGGCAAAGTGTGTTCGGAACGCCAGAGTCTCAGATATAAGCATAGACCATGCTTTCGAGATCGCTTCGTGGCTGGTGTTTCCACGAAGCTGGAAAGTAAATCGCGGGAAGAAGAGAAGTCCGTTTGTGTTTTGCCAGGTGCTTAGCATGTGCACTTGCATGGGTAGAGCTGGCAGAACAGCTTCTACATCAGCTTCATCTAACCCGGCATCCTTGAGGAGAGAATCTATTTCAGCTTGTTTAAGTATCGAGTCGAGTCGCGACGGCGAATCCGTAAGGCGAGCTTTTGACTGCTTGTCGTGACTTGCTACCTGATCTATTATTTCGCGTATAGATGTTGCTTCGAGTATGTCACGGACAGAAACGTCTAGCCCCCGTTTTCGGATCATAGATGATGCTTTGATAGCGCTGATAGAATCCAGACCCAGGTAATATATGGAATGATTAGGGTTAATAATATGCTTGTCTATCCCCGACAGCTCGGACAAGACTTCCAATACAGGCGATTCCAAGTGCGCGAAATTTATTTCTCGTGATGCTTCGTCGCCCAAAGTTGTTTTTACTCCGTCAGTGGTATTGCTGTTCGGTTCGAACGGCTCTAACCCACAAACGGATACCTTATCTGACATGTCAAATTCGAGGATACCTGCATAATCCCCGGTAAAATACCCTAGAACACGTTCAATATTGGCTAGAATTCGATTCGCATCCTCTAGGGATATATAACGCTCGTCACCGGCTATGCGCCACACGACTGACTTCCTAGTGATCTCCATTTCAACGCATACGGGATAATCCACAGCGGACGATGCATGGACTGATCGTAGAATGGCGCTATCCGATCCGACCGTGTGATCCCCAATATTTTGCAAGAGGAAGAGTGTATTGAAGATATTCTCCCCCTTGAATTTGGATATTTTCTGCACCTCTCGAAGTGGGAAGTGTTGGAATTCCAGGATGTCTGACATGCTAGCCTGTAAGTAGTCGAAATACTCCGTCATTGTCCCATGGAGTATGACCCTTAGAGGCACAGTATTCATGGTAGGGAATAGCAAGTTTCGAGCTTCGTCCGTGTCTCTTCCTGATAATACTACACCAAAAATAACGTCGAGGGACTTTGACATCGAAGCGAGTACCGGCGCCCAACATCCTTGAGCTAGGACCTGTGGCGTGACGTGGTACCTTTTACATAGCGCCGTCACGCCTCGAGGGTCTAGTGCAGATAGCAATTCCGATCGATGTATTGTTGGCGTATGGCTGCTGGGCAGATTTACAATAGGACGGAGGATAGTTGGACGAGCCTCCATTAGGTAGTCGGCCCAAAAGCTCTCACCCGCGGTCGAGGAGCTAAAGAGTAGATGAGCAAGATACGGCTCATATGCGCTTCGCGCGTGATAGTGACCATCGTACGCTGCTTGCACGTCTCTGTGGAGTAATTCGACTGACCACCCGTCGTATAGGGCATGGGCGATTGAGAGGACGAGATAGCGACCATTTGGAGTATTTACGAGGGCTAGCTGAAATAGATCTGACGTTCCATTGGCTGCTGCTGCTCTGTTCCGGGCCCGGTCAATTACTTTCGAGATATCGTCTAAACCGGAAAGCTCCACTGTCGGCTTAAATTCGAAGGGTTGGTCTCGGACAATTTGACAGAACGCGGCTTTACTGTTTGGGCTGTCGATCGCTGAAAACGTCGTTCGTAAAATTGGGGAGTTGGCATATACTGTAGTCCAGGCCGACTTTAGTCGGTTGATATCTGTGTTTTGCGAAATCTCTAGTACGTCGTGATTGAAATATCGTCTGAAGTCAGATAGCAGCATGTCCACTACCATGAAATCTTGCAATGGCGTTGGCGGTAGAATGGCCGTGACATTATGAAGATCTTTTAGATCCTGTACTAAGCATCCCCTCAAGAAGGCGCTCGAGCTGCTTAGGCTAATGGTTTCCTTGTGATTGTCATCGCCGCTCGTGTCTGTGGTAATATGGGAATTGGCGATGCTCTTGAAGGTGGGGTTTTTCATTAGCTCGCTGATTGTAATTCGAATGCCAATTTTCTTGAGCCTCGCAGCGAGCTTAATGCCGTCAATACTATCCAAACCAAGCTCAAGGAACCTTGTGTTTTCTTGGACTTCTTCGTCTGGCAATCCAGCCAAGGAGGCCACTTCGTGCCGAGCTTCCCGGGTTCTGATGTTGTTGAAGATTTTGGATCCATTTATTTCCGTAGTCGAAAGATTTGACTTTACCAAGTATGAACTTTGCGATACGGTGCCCGACCCACCGGACGCCATGGGACCACTCGGAAGCGGCATATCACTTTCTGAATTGGCGAAGGCTATGAGAGCTTGGCTGAATTCGTCTAGTAAGAAACTAATAGCAGCTTCTGTAGCAATATTCTTCTGAGCGACGATACTGGTTCGCAGGGATTGGTCTCGTGATAAGACTACCTCGAGCGCCAGTGGGTAGTCGGGGATTCCAGTCGACTGTACCGATGACCAGAATGATGATCTAGGTTCTGCTGTTGGGAGGACGTCCTCCCGGTCAAACGTCAAGAGGATGTCAAATAATGGTTTTCCCTTCGAGCACCACTTTTGTACATCTCGAAGTGGCGTATGCACATACTCTAGCATACAAGTACTGTACTCCTGGACTTCTTGTACGAGTGAAATCCAATTGTCGTGATTAGTAAGGTCTACCCGGAATGGCAACGTGTTGAAGACGGGCCCAATTACGTCTTCTATGCCTTCAAAAACTAGGGACCTCCCAGAGAAGACAATGCCAACAGTAGGCACAAACCCGAGATGTTGGTGTAATGCAACTAACCAAGCGGACAGGACTACGGTTTGGTGTGTTACGCCGAGCGCTAACCGCTGGGTTTCCAATCCGCTTATACTGACCACTCGAGATAATAAGACGTCAAGTGCCCCGGACTGAACTGTAATAGCCGGCATTGGTTGAAATGAACTCTCCTTAAACATATTTTCCCAGAAAGGTCTCGATTCAATATGCTTCAAGAGCGGCCCGTAGGGCAATACCTCAAAGAACGTAGGGCTACGTACGGGTGGTATTTGGAAGTATTTTTCGTTCACCCTTCGGAGCAGGAGTTCAAAGCTACGGCCGTCGTAGACGGCATGGAACAGCCGAAGGAGGAGCATTTGCTTTCCGTGATGCTTGAGGTAGTCGATCTCTATAGGATTGCCAAGAATATCCTGATTCGACGCAATCCAGCGGTCTCGACGTTCTGACATGAGAACTGCGATATCCTTTTCTTCTGGATTAACCTCAAACCAGGGCACAGCCGTTTTCTTGGTTGCGACTTGGATATACCCATCTGAAGTAGGGAAGAACGTCGTCCTTAGAACGGCATATTCGACAAATACGCTATCCCAACAATTTCTTAGGCGACTCACCGACACCGTAGTATCGAGGTAGATCTGAAACTGACTAAAATATGCCGATTGAATCTCAGAGGCCTTTGATCTAGTAATCATTCCCTCTTGAAGGGGAGTGCATGGCGCGATGTATTCCACGTCTGGTTGATCGATATTTAAAGTCCTACACACTGCACCAATATTCCTATGGTATTGAGCGCGAATGGACTGCTTGATTTGAAGAGTTTGTCTGTTGAGAGTCATAGGGGTCGCTTGGGTGAGGGCTTGGGAGAGATGACTTAGTTGAGGATGTCGTAAAATGAGCGAAGGAGCTGCGAGGGTGAATCCCCGGGATTGAAGAGCGATAGCTAGCCGCGCAACGTTAATCGAGTCGATGCCGAGTTCAAATATCGAAGACGATGGGTGGATCTCGGTATCTTTGACCTCTGTTATAGTTGAGATAGCTAACGCTATCAATCGTTCCTTTTCATTAAGTGCCCTCTCAGTGCTGGTTGAGCCCGTCGTACCATCCCGCAAGTGATCATGGGGTAGCTCTGCGAAGAGTTGTTTCAGACGTTTCGTATCTACTTTATTATTTGCCGACAGAGGGATGAAGGGCACGCAAAAAACGTAAGTGGGAACCATGTATCCAGGAAGGCGGTCTCTGCAAGCCTCGAGCGCTGAGCGAGACAAGTTCAGTGATATCTGATCAGAAGCGATTTGCAAATCGGTAGGGCGACGCGAGCCCACGTCGGAGGCTAGAAACGAAACAAGGAGATCTCTGTCTTGCCCCATATATCTTGTAACTAAGGTGAATACATCCGTCACTTGATTAGGGAGACCGGACTTAATGGCATGGTTGATTTCGCCAATTTCGAGCCTCTGGCCGCGCAGCTTAACCTGGTCGTCGGCACGGCCTAAGAAGTCAAATGAGCTATCATGAAGCACGCGCACCAAATCGCCCGTACGATATACACGTTCGCCGTATCGCTCAAGCACCGGGAAACGCTCCTCGGTGAGATCTTTCCGGTTTAGGTACCCCAGGCCGACAAGCCTCCCAGACACGCACAGCTCTCCGACGCCGCCCTTAAGTACCGGGATTTCGGTACCGGGCTCTAATACGTAAGTACCCACGTTTGGAAACTGATGCCCAATATTAGACGGTTTACCATTAGCAGGAACCCTCTGGAACATCGTAACACCAATAGTGGCCTCCGTGGGGCCATAAGCATTATAAATAACCCCCTTCGGTCCCCACGCTTGCAATATCTCTTGCCGAAGTTGCTCGCCTCCGGTAATAAAAATGCCTCTACATAGGCTTGGCGCTTCGTCAGGATGAATAAGCTTCGCTAGACTCGGCGTTAGGTCGATATGGGTAATGTCTAGACTTGATATCGTGGCGGTTATGTCTGCAAGTATCAGGTCCTTGGGCGCCGCAACAACAGTGATACCTACAAACCAGGACCAATACTGTTCCAAGACAGATACGTCGAAATGGAACGAAGCAAACTGTAGCCATCTAGAATGTACGTCCCAGTGACCAGAAAAAAGTTGCTCAAAAGCAAGCATGGCCTGGACGGCATTATCGTGACTTATAAGACAACCTTTCGGAGTACCTGTCGTACCGCTTGTGTAAAGACAATAACACGGATCTGATGGGGATCTTCGAGCAGGCTTTAGGGTCGCTGGAAAATTTAAGAGTTCACGCTCCATAACCGTATAAATTGGAACTGTTATATTTAAATCCAAGCTATCACCCAAACACGATTCGATAAGTAAACAAGAGGCCGCGGAATCGCTCAAGATGAATTCGAGCCGCGATACTGGGGCGCCGGGATCAAGAGACAGAAATGCGCATCCTGCCTTCAGAATCCCAAGGATTGAGAAGTAGGCCTCCGGGCACTTGTTGAAACATGTTGCGATAATGCTACCTGGTGGCGTATTGTGATGTGATAGCATATTAGCGACCCGATTTCCCATCTCGTCCAACTCGCGATAGGTCCAACGCCTGATGTAGACCGGGTTTCCCAGCTCCCTAACAAACTCAAGAGCAGTGGATGTTGGTATGCGCTGAGCAGAATTTTCAACAAGCTGGTGTAGAAGGTCTGCAGGAGGCGGAATCTGCTGGCTATCCGCCGGAAGAATAGAGAATATTTCAGGTGTGAGGCGAGAAAGCTTATCGGAATGACCACGAGGGAATGTGAGAAGGTCCGCGAGTAAGGCATCGAACTGCCGCAGGAGAAGACGCGCTTGTTCGGTTGGCAGGATATCTGCTTGGTGCGTCAGATACAGTTGAAGTATCCCCGAAGTCGTCTCAACGACTTCAAGCGCAACCGCATATTCAACTGATGCGGCCTCCTCCAATATCTCCCACGGATGCTCAATTTCGATTTTATCCGCGGTTTGATACGCTATTATAGTATCAAATAGTTGGCTACCAGGTCGGCCGAGCCACCGCTGCACTTTAGAAAGGGGCGTACGCTCATACCGACGTAGACTTGTATTGTACCGCATCATGTCTTCGAGAAGCTCGGCATTGGAGTTAGAGTTGCGCGCGAGAACAGGCAAAGTTGTTACCATTGGGAATATTACATCTCGTTCTTCCTGCGTGGAACGTCCATCAAGAACAATTCCAAACGTAACAGACGTCTCCCCAAGATAGGAAGAAAGCACCCGGGTCCAAGCTGCCTGTAGCGCGGCCCTGACCGTAACGTCTGCCTGGGAAGACATGCGACGAAGACTATCAGAAGACACATCGCTTGTCATAGATACGGTTAATGAAGTGCGGTTAGAAATATGAAGTGGCGTCATCGCCGGGAACTTGCTAACAACGAGGTCGGCGGCTTTCGCTCTCCAAAATGCTTCCGAGATCGATTTAGAATGTGCGGGATCGAGGCAAGCAGATAGAGCTGAATGGATTGAAGGAGAACCTCCGCTCGTGACACCCGACAGCGCTTCAGCCAATCGGCCAAGTAAGTATCGTAGTGAATTTGCGTCATACAATGCGTGATGCATAGCAAGATGCATAGTCGATTGACCGGATCCGTCGTCTACGATGACGACTTGCCAGGGCGGTATCGAAAGGTTTTCGAGAACCTTTAAGGCGGCACCTGCACGCCATTCTGAACGATCGAAGGAGCTAGATTGTCGAATCGACACCGGAGCGGAGAAGCCAGCCACGGGGTAAATTACCATCGCGTAGGAGGTGTCCTTGTGATCAACCGGTGTGAACCCAGTCCGTAATATCTGGCAGTGAGCCGTAAGCCGTACCCACGCCTCAGCGATTTGCTGAGAATCAACTCCGGCTCGCAGCACCCAGGCTATGTAGTTGAAGTAGTGCGCTCCATCTGAGTTAAGGAACTGGGATATCATACCCTGTTGTGTCGGGGTACATGGCAGCAATGCTTCATAATCTTTGGGTGATTTGGGATTTCTATCTAAATACCTACTGACGGTATCCTGAAAGCTGCTGAAGCCATAGACGAAACGCGCTTTTTCGCAATCGGGGGTCGTCAGGCGAGAGGCGATGCCTGCGCAGGTCGGATTCTCAATTACGTCTACTGCAGATATGACGCATGACTCTCGACGAAGAAGAGTTGCTAGTTGAACCGCGCCAATACTGTCTAGGCCAAAGCGATATAGCGAGACGTGCCGTCCAATCCTCTCCTCCGGGATATTTACTAGTCTGGATAGCACCGAACGAACAATCGATTCAGTTCTACTCCAGGATTCGTCGATCTCATATTTATCCGGTGCCACGAGATCTGTATCCGTTCTTGCTAGTTCCCGCGATACTGTCAAACTGGAAATATGATTCTGCCGTTCGGCTGGCAAGTTGGAAGTGGTTGGCATATGCGACGATGGGCGTTCTAGACAGGCTTCAAAAACATCCTGGAAGATATCTAGTATAAGTGATGAAATATGACGTGAGAAGATTGAACTATTCGTAGGTAAGCATCACACCGAAAGTGTAGTCGAGATGGGGCCTGAAGCTCACAGATTTGTGTGTAGTTGCATAGTAAGGATATTTCGTTCCTGCCAAGGGGTGATCTCGCACACAAGAGGCACCTGTCCTGGAGTTAGCTTATTGGTCTAAATAAGCAGCAATCAACTAATAACTTACATCCATGGCGCCGTGTTCTTGTTCCAGTGACCAGACCGTCCCATCTAAAGAGTAACCCTGCGGTTGGACAATGAGCACGGTATCGAAAAGATATGGTAACTGGAGTCGCGTTTGGATATGTCGTAAACTAGTGAACTGATATGGTATCATTTCGATATTGAGCCGTTGAAATTTGTTCATGACTTGATGAGCAAACTTGAAATTGGAAATATTTATCCTAACAGGAACAGTATTGAAGCATGGCGCTACAAGGGTATCGATTTGGTCTATGGCGATAGAGCGACCGCTCACAACGTTTCCAAAACAGACATCACGATTATCTTGCAAGAGAGAGAGCGTAATAGCCCAAGCCGTCTGGCATAATGGTAATAATGAAACACCTAGTTCCTGTGCACGAGCCGCAACGGAGGAATATGGACGACGTGATACATTTCCCGATATTACATACGAGTCGGGATGGTTAACAGAGGTTAACTTGCCAAAGCGAGATGGAGAAAATGAACGTAAGTGCTCTTCCCAGAAACTATCCGCTTTGGGATGTAGAGGAAGCGTTTCCTGAAGGAATGATTCAAAAGGTAGAACAGCCGGTAACTGCTCGTGCCGTGATACCGCCTCGATTTCCGCAAGGAGTTGCTTCATCGAGACACCATCATAGACGGCATGATGGCAAATAAATGACAGATATTCTATGGAGTTTTCAAGTTGGAAAAAGGAGAGGGATACTGGAGGCTCACCATTGTCAAGCGCACAAGGAAGGGAGCTTCTATGCCGGGATATCAGATCCTGGAAATTAGCCCTGTCTGCCTTGACAGTCTCCCACGTAGGAATGTGAGACGTCAAAACCACTTGGACCATTGGATGACGGGCATCCTCAGTCGTTACAAAACACGTCCGCAGGATTCCATGGCGTTTAAACATCACGTCCCAGTGTTTCTTCATAGTCTGCGAGGGCAGGCAAAGTCGGAATATCATCTGATTGCAGTAAGAAGACCCACCAGAAGACGTTCGAGAAGACGAAAGCATAGCTTCTTGTAAAGGGGTACACGGAAGAATATTCTCCACGCACCCCTCTCCCCGGTCATCAAAGCGTCTCCGAACGGCTTCCGCCAGCGGCTGAGGCAGAGCGACTGTCTTTCCATTGGGCTGGACTGTTGTTGTATATGTGTCCTCGGCGATGGCTAAAGCAAGTCGTCCGACGCTAGGATTTGATAGAATAAGGGATAGAGGAATTCGTTTCCCTAGGATTGTTTGGAGCCTCCGCGCTAGAGGCATCGCGGAGATCGAGTCTATTCCGAGGGCAGCAAAAGAACCCCATCGGTTGATTACCTTCTTATCGACGCGCAGCGTCTCTGAAATAACTCCTGCCAGCAAAACCTCGATCTCGGTCCATTCGAGGGAATCTTCAACGACACTTTGCATGGTGCTGCATAAGTTTAATATTACGCCCGAGAGGTCGCTAGCGGAAGAACGCAGCGAGTCATGATCGACTTTCCCAGATGATGTCAACGGTAGAGTAGATATTGGAATAACGAAAGACGGCACCATGTAATTTGGCAGAGCATCCCGCAGCGTCTGCTGTATCATGACCATCGACTTTCTTATCGGATCTGTAATGGGCAATATGCTAAAGCCCGGGCGTTCATAACTAGTAGGAACGTAGAACAAAACTAGCTGCTCTGTAGAAGCACCCCCGATTGTAGCAAGCACACTCGTGCAGGCCTTGGCAAGTCTATCCCTCAGAACAATCGCTTGGATCTCCTGAAGCTCGATCCTCAGTCCTCGGAGTTTCACTTGAGTGTCGATCCTCCCCAGGATAATTAAAGAGCCATCGGGCAGCATACGACCGAGGTCTCCGGATCGATATAAGCGGCCATACTCACGATGATGGAAGAACTTAGTCGAGGTCAGTTCAGGCATGTTAAGGTAGCCCGCAGCGACCTGGTCGCCCCCGAAACATAATTCGCCAACACAACCCAGGGGCATCAGCTCTGGAGCATCTTGAGAGAAAACAAAGGCTGAGGTGTTTTCGAGAGGCCACCCTAAGTATGGCGACGAATCACCTCGAGATACCTTCCTAACGGTACATATATTAGTCGTCTCCGAGGGGCCGTAGCCTATTAGTACCTATTAGTAGAACACCGAGAATACAGTTGGGCACTTACGTACCTTGCCATAGCTGCCGTGCCCAGGTTTCTAGCACTGCATCAGTCATCGGCTCACCTGATGTAACGAGCATTTTAACATTGGGCAGCCGACTAGGTTCTAGAAGCGAAGCAACGGTGACGGTCATACTGAGGTGAGTTACTCTTAGTGCCCGCACAGAGCTTTCGATATCTTCAAACAAGACGTCGTTAGTAGCCGAACATAGGCACATGCCGTTACCCCAGGAGAAGAATATCTCGAATACGGATACATCGAATGCTTGAGAACAAGCCTGCAGCATTCGGTCCGAGGGCTCGTGAGGGTAGATGCGAGATAGTGCTTCAATATTGCTTAGAATGTTTGCGTTAGTAACCGAGACACCCTTCGGGGTCCCGGTGGTTCCACTAGTGTAAATTACATAGGCGAGATCGTTCCGACCCGTAGGAATTTCAATGTTACAGTCGTGATATTCAGAGAGCATCACGCGCGACATATTAGCGACGGGGCAATAAAATGCTTCAGCAATCTGCCGTGGGAAGGATTCGTCGACGAGGCAAATTTGAGGTTGGGCCTGCTCAAAAATCAGTTGTATCCTCTGCGAAGGGGTACTGGGAAGGACGGGGAGATACGCGCAGCCAGTTTTGAGTATCCCGAGAATAGCGCAGTACAGCAGCGGCGATTTGTCCATAACTAACGCAATTATCCTTCCTGGCACAATACCGGATCGCCGTAGATAGTTCGCTATCTGATTCGCTCTCGAATTCAATTCCCCGTAGGTTAAGGTATGTGCCTGTATATTAGAAGCGCCGATCAATGACGCGAAGCATAGGGCGTCGTTAGTTGGATACTTCAGTGTTACCTCCTCTACAAGCTCGGATAAGCTCGAGGATATTGGAAGAATCTTCGGAATCTCGTTGTGACGGGATAGGTCATCAACCGGAAAGCATCGCAAGACACTACTAAGCGGTCGGTCTCTATTCGGAATAAAATAGCGAACCAAAGAATCGAGGTGTCTAAATAAGACGTCGACTTGGGGATGCGAGAAGGCGTCCGAATGCCATGTCAATTGGCACGAGAAGCTACTGTCAGAGGGAGTTATTTCGACGAGAAGTTTTGTTTCTACCACGTCCTTGTGCCAAGCTTCGTGGATAATGCTGTCGATCCGTTTGCGACTAGCAAGAGTTTCCTGGTAGGCGAAGATAACGTCGAAGAGCTTTTGAGCAGGAGGGATTCCAGCAGCTCGTTTAATATCCGAAAGAGAAAGACCGCCATATCTGAGCGTTTCCCGATTGAACATGTGAATGCCCTGGAGAAGCTCGATAACTGTAGTATATTCGCTTAAGATTGTTCTTACGGGGAGGGTTGTCATACACGGCCCCATTATCTTTTCAACACCGGCAATAGGAAGAGTCCGACCGGATGATACAGATCCTATTATGGTGTCGCCGACGCCATTGATTGCCCCCCAGAGCCAGGATAAACAAGCCTGGAATATGACCTGGGACCCGACAGATGCTCCAAGCGCAGAGTCTCTAACTAATACGGGATCGACCTTAATCTCCTTGCGCGCCGTCATAATCTGGGGCTCTCGCGCGGCCGAAGTTTTAAAGTTAGGTAGCGGCGTAGGAGCATAGCCGCGAAGCTTTCCCGCCCAAAATTCTTTTGCGTCAATCTCATTCCTCAAGGGGGCAGCTAGATGCTGGCATATCCGCCCGAACTGAGGCCTATCTACTGGCGGCTCGCCTCGTGCTAAAAGAGAAAGATCTTCAATTAGTAGATCTATTGTCCATCCATCATATATTGAATGATGAAGGGTCATCACAACGGTGTGGTACGTCGCCGGTGCGCGGCTGGGTATGATGTTAATTTTGAATGGGCGACGGAGGAAATGCTCAACGTCGGCGCATTCAAAAGAATATATACGGTCGAGGACTTCAATCTGGCTATGTTCGAGTTGCTTCCAAATTACTTGATATAATTTGTCATTGAGATATGTGAATCCGGTCCGTAGAATTTCATTACGTCGAGCGAGAACGACGAACCACGACTCTATCGATTCGACCGTAAGGTGATTGGGAAACCGGAGTTCGGTCTGATTTATATATAGCTTCGCGTCCTTTAGGGTTTCCGCGACCATCGCCTCCTGAAGAGGACTGCACGGCTCTACACGTTCGACATTCTCAGGACGTAGCTGCGTCGCCGTTTCAGATGCTAACAGATCCGCAAAGCAAGCCTGATCATGCCGGTCGAGGGGAGATTCGGTCGAGCTCGGCGAGTGTACCCCGCCATGCCGGTCTTCGATGACGCGAATAAGCTCCCGCACAGTCGTCACATCTAAAATGTTGATAGGGTTGATGGTAATTCCACCGGCCTGAATAGTTGATGCATATTCGATAGCCGCTAAGGAATCCATTCCTAACGAGGGTAGGTACGTCGACGGAGTGACGCGCCGTCCGAGAATGACCTCGGCGGTCTCGCAGAGTTGACGCTCCAATTCATCTTCGAATGCTTCCTCCGCTTCGGAATCGTGAGGAGTCGAAGTTTCGTATTGTTCGATTAGGGATCTCTTATCGATCTTGCCCGAAGGCAACCGAGGAAAATGTTCCACGATCTTCAAATCAGCAGGGATCATGAAGGCTGGTAGCCAAGATCTACATTGGGAAAGAATTGCCGCCCGCATCCCTGTTGATCTCGCGTCGTCTTCAACCGCCGCAAAGGCCACCAAAACGTTTGAGATCACAACAGCAAGAGCTCCATGACATCCCGGCGTGCGCAAGAGGGCATGCTCGACCTCCCCGAGCTCGATTCTTTGCCCGTTCAACTTGACCTGGCCGCCAGCAATCCTGCCAAGACACTCTATTGTGCCATCCGGCAATATTCTAGCCTTGTCTCCAGTCCTGTACACTCGACCCCAACTCGTATCGAGGAACGCGGCCGAAGTCTGCTCGGGTCTATTAATGTATCCAATGGCTACCTGATCGCCGCCGATTGCGAGCTCTCCGACTTGGCCGAGGGGGAGCACCCGGAATTCTGGAGTATCGCTATCTATTACGAATGCCGATACGGTATCGAGAGGAACTCCAATGTTATTCTTGCTAGACTTTTTGGAAAATGAGGGTTGGACTGCGCTGCAACCTTTGGCATGAGTATTCCAAACCGCGACAAGGAAAACTGCGGAATACTTACCAATGAATCGTCGCTTCAGTAGGGCCATACATGCCCCAGAGCAGGCTACCTCCATCATCGTCACCTCCAAATTCCTGGATGACGGGTTCGGTAAGCATCTCGCCGATGGTCAGTAAGAGACGCAATTCGGGAGCATTGCTCCTCTTCTTAAGTAGACTACCGGCAACGGATGGTGTTAATTCGCACGCATCTACGCGCGAATCTCTCAAAACGCCGGGAAGATCAGATAGCATATCCGCGCGACTCCTGCACACGAGAGTGCTACCGCGGAACAACGGAAAGAATATTTCAAACACAGACACGTCGAATGTGGGCGCCGCGAATTGGAGGAAGCGAGCGAATCGTGGAATGTGGCGATCGTGGGCAAGCAAGCTCTGCGTCACTGCACGGTGGGATATTGCAACCCCTTTAGGCGTCCCAGTAGAGCCGGATGTATACATGACATACGCCAGGTCGTCAGGCTCAGGTACCCTGCAGCTGTAGGGAACCAGCTGTCCCGTGTTGCACATTAGGAGGTCCAATGATCGGTCGACCGGCAGGATCCTGTAAGCATCATCGTCCGGTATTCTCGTTACATATTTAGAGTCAACTAGAACGAGCTCAGCCTTGACATCACTCAATATGAATTTGAGACGATCTCTCGGAATATCGGCGTTCAACGGGCAAAAGGCAGCACCGATTTTCAAAATGGCGAGGAGCCCGGCGTACAGCGCCGGCGACTGTGGGATGAGAATTGGTATAACAAGCCGTTCCCGGGAGTCAACCGACCCTGGCGGCCGCAAGATTTCGAGCATGCGCGTAGCCAGCGCGGTCGCTGCAGAGTGAAGTTCATGATAGGTGACGCTAAATCCAGCACCGGTGCTGCAATGATAATCTATAGCTAGTAGGCTATCGTTGCTCGACTCTGTCACTAGATCGTGAAGCAGCTTTGGTCCCTCAAGGATCAAAGGAGAGGGATTAAGGATGGATAGCTCTCTCGAGTCCATCTCCAGCTCCATTGTGAGGCACGAATGACCTTTTTCATTAGAGGACATGCGCTTCACGAAAGAGGATAGTGGTAATCAACCACGTTACCTCAACCGTCACTTCTGAGCAAGTAGTCACTGCGATGGCGTGACGACGGGTGGGCGATAGCGTGTGATTGGAGTTTATGATTAAGATGATTCTCGCGTAACTGGCGAAGAAGCTGCTAAGATAGGTAGATAGGACCAAAGCACACCTTTGCTTATACCTGATATTAGCCTTGACACGTTAGGTATAAAAGTAACTGCAACCACATCTCCTCTGAACTCAAAACCTGACGCGATACCTCTATTCCCTTGTACTCGAGGCAGTTACACCTCAAGGTACTAGAGGCTGAGGTAACACAGAAGCTAGGAGAGAAGGCGAAGTGGCTTTTGTGGCTTGACGCAGGAACGGTCGAAGATCTCGTTTACAATGTACTTGAGGACGCCTTACCCGTACGATCGGGCCGCCACGATACCGAGACGCGCCAGAAAGGTTAATTTTGGTTAATTCGAGCGCCAAATTAGGACGAGCCGTTGCACTTGAAAGCATACGTATTAGATGAAGGAAGTTGTGGCCGGCGGTTTTGCTTATGAGGCTTTTTTTCCCCCTCCTAGCCGGTAACAATTCCATTACGTTTACATTCTACTTGTGGTTTAGGTGAGTGGCTACCTAAGAACTGTTACCTTAATAAGGTTCCTAGTACCTTGCCAAGGGTTCAAAGTACTTGACGTACATCAGAGACATGTACATGGATTCCAACGGTCACATAGCACATGCACTCCCCTATATAATTGTTTAATTGGCTCTATCTTGAAGACCCGGCATTTCTTAAATCTGTGCCGACGTGACGTAGCTAAAACTTTGGGATAACAGAGTAAATATCTATGTACCCACATGCTGTCAAGCTGGCGCTTACATATCTCAGCTTATAGGTTATGTAGGTATGTAAGTTGGTAAGCAGCAAGAGTAAAGAATCTACAGACTCCTTCGCTAGGTACTTTGCAGTTTTCAGTAAATCGGTAATGGATTAAAAGCAACTACTTTACCGCTCCAGGGGGGTCTTTGAATATGTTTATAGCGATTATGTCATATCTTGGAAATCCTTTTAAATGAGTATGTTAAAAAAATATTGATTAATTAAATATATATTTATTTTATATATATTTTTAAAAATTAAATATGGGTTTATATTTATAATATAATTTTAAATTATAATTATTTTAAGTTAAAATTATTTTAAAAGTGTAACATGTTTAAGTAATGCTTATGTAAGCGGGGATAAAGTAAAAAAAAAAGATAAAAAAAAAAAAAAAAAAATTAACCGAAATAAATTGTTTTTATAAAAATTCGAACGTATAATTTTAAAGTTTAAATTAAAGTTAACATATAAATTATGTATGTTAATTAAATAAATGGTTAAACCATTCGATTAAATTAATTAAATGATTATATAAAAGTTTTTAATTTTTTTTTATATAAATTTTATTTATATATGTAATATTTTTTTAACGGGGGATGGTTTTAAAATGATTTTAAATTTTAAAATAATTTTAAAAATTAAAATAATAATATATATATAATTATTATATTATATAAAATAATTATATAATAAAATAATTTTATATTTAAATATAATTTTATATTTAATATAATAATAATAATTATTTTTAAATTATAAAATGTTTTTATTTTTTAAAATTTTTATATAAATATTTTCATTAATAAAATTATTATTATAAACATTTTTAAAGACTTTTTTAACGCGTTAAAATAAATTTAAAAATTAAATTTTATATTTAATAATTATTTTAATAAACTTAAACCACAAATTTAATATTGTTTATAAAATTATACTTTTTTTAACCACATTATTTTTTAACCAATTAAAACTTAAAACAATTTTTTAAAATAATATTAAATTTATAATTTAAAATAATTTTAAAACTTTATATATTAAAAATATACGTTTAACGTTTTAAAATAATAACATTAACAATATTATTAAAATAATAATATTAATACATATTTATAATAAATAATAATTAATTATATAATAATTATTAATTTTATTATTAAATTTATCGATTAAATTTATACGTTTTAAACTTTTTAAAATGTTAAATGATTAATATTAATTATAATACCGGTTATAACACCGGTTATAACATTAACCGTAATAATAACCGTAATAATAATTATAATAAACGTTAAAACTTAATATATATAAAACCGTATAAATATATAAAAAAAGTTAAAAAGTTTAAAAAATGTATTAATTTTAAATTATTAAAAAAAAAAAGATTTTATATATGGTTATAAAATATTAAATTGTTATATTTAAATATTTTACATAAAACTTAATATAATTATATATATTTTAAAACGTTAAAAATTTTTAAACGTTAAAATTTAATATATAAAAACGTAATGCCGTATAAATATATAAAAAAACTAAAAAAATAAATTAAATATATTATTAACTTTAAATTATTAAAATTAAAACTATTTTATATATTATTATAATATATTAAATTATTATAAACATAATGTTTAATTTTTTCATTATTAATAAAAACGTTAAAAACTTTTATAATGCCGTATAACTTTAAACCAAAAATTTTCGAATGTTTTATTTATAATTTATAAGTATAAACACACGGACCACGCGTTGCGTGGCGCAGGCGGGCGCAGCCCGCCTCAAAAATTTCGGGTTTAAAGTCACCTGAGATAATCGATAAACTAGTTCGGTAAAAAGTTTAAAATTACGTGTGGCTTTTGATCTGCTGTTGTACAACCATACCTAACCCTGCCGGTCGAGCGGGGACAAACGGAGTTGACCGTTTCGTCGCACGGAGCTGCCTCCTATCGAATTCTAGCTTTATAGATCTTAAAAGTGGTAGTATCGATTTTCTATTATTCTAGCGTCTTATCAGAGTAAGAGGTAGTTATAAAAGGTGATGCTTTGACTGTGACTTGATTGCCTTTTCTTTTACAACCATCTCAAAAATGAATATACATTTCGTAAACTTTGGCCGTCGTAAAATATTTGGCGCAAAATACCTCGGAACGTGGACTTTCTAATCATACCTCAAGACACTAAGCAGCTCCGGTATTCGTCCAGGACCCCGGCGTCGCCAAGACGCGAACTTCCAGGATAAGATCTTGAGATGATCTTATCAGATCATCAGATAATTTGCATCGCGGATCTATTTAGTACTGTTTAGCGACTTATGAACTAATGAACCCATGTATTCCACACCCCAATCGTCTTTTACTCGATCACCCTCCCCACTCCGCAATGCAGGAGTATAAAATTTTCTTCTCGAATTCGTTTAACTCTTCAACAATCATATACTATTCACGTGTCTTAGAACGCTGTGTGGGCTTATTTATGTTGATCTATGGGTCTCAACTATCCCTTCCAGGCATAGAGACTCCGCGGCGTTATATAATGGACCGTATTTAAAACCTGCCGAACAATACATAAACTATGGCGTGTCATTGTCTTTTAGGTAATGTATTTATTAACTGGCTAGTTTATCCAAACCTCCATTCCGTTCTGGGCTGTTGGTCCGCACCCGAGGTTACCAGTAACGAGAGAGAAGAGCTGCACCTAGCTAGATGAACACGGGTTTCCAATGCAGCTAAGTAACCATTTGCCCGGGGTGTTAGTATTACCACTAAACAAGAGCTCCTAGTGAATGTAACAATAGGATTAGTTAATGGAACCCCGATCTCTCGAACTTGAAAGAAGTTACCATTGTGTATCGACCACGGAGAGAATGGCGTGGGCGGAACAGTTCTCAAGAACTAGTTAGGCGTACGTCTACTCTGAAATCTCTTTCTTTTTGTTTGAAATAGCTAAGAGATAGAATTCGGAATGGCATTATTATATAAACGGTTTAAAATTGACAATTGACAATGTCAGGTGTAATAGCTACGAATATCAGTACCTAATGCTTGCTTGCTTACCTACGATGAACTCCTGTGAACAGTCTCTAAGCAGGTAACAATAGCAATGCGCCTAAGAAGATAGATTCAATTATGGCCGTCATCGGAGAATGCCGGCACCACCTGGTCTCTATGCACAGACATCTTATCTGATCCGAAGATAACGCCGATGTCGCCAGACTAATACCCCTGCGGTCTCCTCTTGGCTGCGTCTCCCTGCCAGTACTAGGTTTGAAGACCGAGGCCAGCTAAGTTCGTACTCCGTGCATACTATTACATGTGTCACAAGTTGAAGGTACAGCGGGAACATCCCGCAAAGTCTGAGCTGGTCTTCGAAACTGCCACTGGTAGCGTAGTGACGCCAGGTTGATCTAGTCTCGATTCGCTTCCCGTCCGACACCGAATCCTCGAACCGAGACAGGTAGGGGCAGGGAATACACACTTCTAGCTAGACCGAGTTATTTAATCACTTCCGGCGCTCAGTTACCTACGTCCTAATACACGCGGCCAAATACTGACTCACATCCTTAAGAGGTACCTTTCGTATCCTCCCTCGTGGGTCCTAAAGAGCTGCTGATCTCCATCGCTCCCGGTTGCTTAGTACTTGCCCGCTTGGTACTAGCTCATATAGGTTTACATAGCTGCGAATGTAGGGGCCTATATCTCGTTCTTAGTTCTGGAACATGCCTACTCATTATCTACTCACTACATACTCGATGTGCATAGTGCGTCAGGCCATTCGATTCATAGCATGTCGAATTCTAGCCTTGGAACTTTTCCACGATCTAGACAAGGATGCGTAAGACATGGCCCGCTCTATATATATTCTAACGGCTGCACCATCATTCGGACAACCCAATTACGACTATTTTACTGACTCTCTTCTTCTCTAACTACTTATACCGTGAGAAGCCCCTTATTCTTAGTCCTGTTAACATTTTTTTCCCGACTCTACAGTTCCGTCAACATCGTTGACGAGTATAGTCTTCCTCTTTTGATTTACGGGACCTCGTAACGTAAGGTCACATCATCAAATACCCGCGGAGTACTTGTTCCCCTGCTTAGGTACATGCTGGCTTAGCGGAGGTCCGTAGCGCCAATATTAAACAGCGTCGCATAATCGCCGACCGTTTTGCGGACAATAGCCGGCAGTTTTACTCCAATAAATAACTATCATGGCACCGCACAGTCTATTAGACGGTCATGATGACGGCCCAACCAGCAATGGCTTTCCGGAGAGCGGCCCTGATGCTCAACCGGCCCGGTTGTCGGCCTATGGCTCTCCGAATAACAAGTCGCACCTAAAGAAGACTTCAGCAGAAGATGTGCATGACCTTGTCTGTGTTGGATTTGGACCAGCTAGTCTCGCGGTCGCAGTCGCCCTTCACGACGCCATCGACCATGGTAATCTCCACAAGACGGGCACCGGGTCGTCTCCGAAAGTTCTCTTCCTGGAGAAACAGCCAAGATTTGCGTGGCACGCCGGGATGCTCCTCCCTGGCGCAAAAATGCAGATATCTTTCATCAAAGACATGGCTAGTCTAAGGGATCCCACCTCGCAGTTCACTTTCTTGAATTACCTCCACAAGAACGGCCGGCTAGTTGAATTCACAAATCTAAATACATTTTTACCATCCAGGGTCGAATATGAGGACTACCTTCGCTGGTGTGCTAGCTTTTTCGATGACGTCGTCCAATACAACAGCGAAGTGGTTTCTGTCTCCCCTGTCAAGGGGCTAGAACCCAACGAATCGGTTTCCACCTTTACTGTTACGTCGAAGGATCCCAAAACGGGTGAATTGACCACTTATCGATCCAAGAACGTTCTTCTAGCTGTCGGCGGACAACCCTCGATACCGAAATGCTTACCTTCGAATCACCCTCGAGTCATCCACTCGTCTCAATACGCGCATCTCGTGCCACGGATTCTAGATAATCCAACATCTCCCTACCGGGTAGCTGTTATCGGAGCCGGGCAGAGCGCTGCCGAGATTTTTAACAATATTCAAGTTCTCTACCCGAATTCTCGGACATCCTTGATCATGCGCTCCGAGTTCCTGAAACCCAGCGACGATTCGCCATTGTAAGCCGACCCAAAATTTCGGAGAAGTTTCCCTTATCTAGACTTCTTACTAGAAAGCTAACCGGTGATAGCGTAAATTCGATCTTCAATCCCTCGTTTGTGAACTCCCTCTATCAAAGGTCTGCCGAAGACAGATACACCCTACTAGAGGGAGCTCGTAGCACAAACTACGGAGTGGTCCGGCTAGAGCTTATCGAGCGTCTATACGAGAAAATGTACGATCAAAGACGCGAACTTGGAACCGACGAAAGAAAATGGCCGCATCGCATCCTAGGTACCACAGATGTAGTCGGCTTCGACACCAAGTCTGATCAGCTGCGGCTCGTAGTTCGTCCTCTGACCTCAACAAAAACTACTATTCACGACGGTACGCGGGAAGACGAAGTCTTGGATGTCGATCTCGTCATCGCAGCAACAGGCTACCAGCGCCAATCTCACCTGACTATGATAGAAGACGTGGCACATATGCTACCTCAAGCTTCCGAGTCGAACGGGGCTCTGTCGAGTAGCACAGCCGGACGGAAGTTCTCAGAAGCTAAGATTAACGACCGCCCGGTACGGGTATCGCGCGACTACAGCGTGCAGTTTTCCCCCGGGAAAGTGGCGCCAGGGTCCGGCATCTGGCTTCAAGGATGTTGCGAGGGAACACATGGAGTGAGTCTATTTTAACCCATCAGAAATCTTTACGCGTCGCTAACTTTACTTCTTAGCTAAGCGATACTCTGCTGTCTGTTTTAGCTACTCGATCCGAGGAGATCGTCAACTCTATATTCGGCAAGGGCGTTCAAAATGGAGGCAAGTGAAAATTAATCAATTAAGGTTTCCTCTAAATCAATGTCGTCTCTCAACGAATCAGATTTTCGCGAGGACCAATTTGCTTCTCGTAAATCGTTGGCGGACCAAGAATTATAAAAGGCGTAGAAAAGAATTATATTTGGCATCAAGACACTTCAAATAGGGGTGCAAATAAGTGCACTAAGAGAATACAAATTCTAGCTAGGTAACTGCTAGTTAGTATATAACGACGGACATAAATAAAATAACTCTTTAATTTTCTATACATAATCGGACTAAAGTATCAAGGTACCTGTTTGAAGCTGAATATCATTAGATAGTCACATTTTTTGCGACTTCACCATGACCTTGATGCCTCGCATTCTACCTTGAGTACTTCTTATGAAAACTATCCCTGAAGAAGTTGAGGACATATGATGTTTAGATTATAGAATGCGACATAACCGGCCGCAAATCGGTTACATTTCTATTCGTTTATGTTTGTGTGCCGTTGAAGTCAATCCTCGCTCGAGCCTATCCTGGATCGTGAAATGTAACCTGGAATTAGAACGCACGCTATTTTGCAGCCTTTTAGCGAGCCGCAGACGCGAAAGGCTAGATTAGAGGTCAATTCGGGGAACACGACAGAGGATAAACGACTCGTAAGAGCTGTTAGGATCCTAGAGGAGACATCTAAAATAAATGATACCTTCAGTGTGTATAGCTCTGGCTTCGATGGTTGGGCTGGAATCTTTTGAGGAATAACCAAGTTATTTCCGTACCTTTTACTCTACCTCGTGATGTGATATTTAATAATAGTTTTGGTGATCCAATATAAGCTTACTTTATTGACAAAGGACGGTCATTTTCCAGGCAATAGTTGGCTTATAAACCCATAGGCAAGCGTCAGCAAACTGACCAAGATTGATACCACCAGTCGGAATATGAAATAAGCGTATTCATAGAGTTCGATGACAAGCAAAGTATAAATACTAAGTATTCTATCATTACTATTTAATAATATGGAAGGTGGATCAATTCTACAACTCATTACAATCTTGAAAACCCATATACAATGCTTTCGTCGCGCTGGATAATGGTGGTAAGCTTCGTAGGCATTGGGCCCTGTATTCCGGTGCTTGCCCAAGAAGATTCTCTTCAAGTATCAACCATCGATAGGTCTACGTTAGACGGGAAACTATTCGTCGGATACCAGGCGTGGTTCCGGAAGCCGTTTGAAGATAACGGAAACTCGCACTGGACAACGTAAGGCCCCAAGTCCTCACCAATATATCTAGAGAAATTTACATATAGTATATAGAGACACACCGACACCTGAGGTTGGACATGGTGAGAAGTTCGCTACCTGATCCAGAGCCTATACTGATTTCTTTCGTAGTCGGTGTTGACATGGTACCTAATATCACGGGATATCCAGAAGAGTGCCTCTTCGACACCTCGTTTAGTCTCCCAAACGGTAAACCCGCACAGTTCTACACGAACGACTGCGAGGGGATCGTGGACCTACACTTTAACATGATGGCAAACTACGGTATCAGCGGCGCTTTCATCCAAAGGTTCTATGGCTATATCAACGAAGCGAACGGAGGCTGGGTTAACGTGCGTAACACCGACCTTTTCGAGCGAAGTTGATACATAATAACCTAACTCCAAGGTAGATCCTGAACTATGCTAAAACAGCCGCCGAGAAATATGGGCGCGGGTTCGTGATCGAATACGACCTTAACGGTGCAGCAACGGGTTCCACAAACGTCACCGATACGTTTTTAGCAGATCTAGAAGCTCTCGCCTCTATCACCTCATCGCCAGCCTACATGCATCATAACGGAAAGCCCGTCCTTGAGATATGGGGTTTTGGCATAGTGACCTCGGTCACCGTGGACGACGGAATCGCAATAGTAACAGCGCTGAAGAATGCAGGTTGGTATGTGATACTCGGAGTCCAACAAGCGTGGCACGCAGAGCTGGCCGCGGACCAGCCTGGCGGGTTCGGACCAGTCTACAAGCTGGCGAATATGATACAGCCCTGGACTGTAGGAGCTTACGACATCAACAACTACGACGATTTCCACGACGGAAGACAGGCCGTCGAAGACAGAAACGCATTGCAGCAGCTAGGATTGGATAGCAGTATCGTCGTGTGGCCAGGAGGCTCAAGCAGTAATGCGAACCCAAGCGAGGCGTTTGATCACTTCCCTAGGTGGAACGGCACGTTCTATCAAAAGCAATTAGACGGTGCTGTCAGCTTAAAGCCTAATTTTATATTCGGTGCGATGTTTGATGAGGTAAATGAAGGAACGGCGATATTCCCTTTGCTAAGGACTAGGGAGTTACCTACCAATCAACGGTTCCTAGGGATCGACGACGATATGGAACCGGATATCTATCTACAGAAGGCCGGAGATGCAGCATCGAAATTGGCGATGGCTTGGTAGTTGGATTAGTCTCAAAACTACCTGGTAGTCAGATTCCCCTTGCGACAACGTTGACTACCTTCGTGATCTACCTATTAAATTATTTTCGACTCATCTATTTTCGCAGTGGAGAAATCAATGTCATTGAGCTGCATCGTATCAATTATACGTTATAAGGCAAGTTACTATGGGAAGATTGCATTATAATCTTAATAGTTTATCCCCGTTATCTTCGATCTATAACCCTCTCTATTTGCGACTTGCCTTTTCCTAACAGTGAAGATTTCTACATATGTAGGTGGGTTCTCTACCAATCTAGCCGCATCCTCCATCTCCTGTATCGATGGCATATTGATTATCATCATATATAATATATCCTGCGAATGCGTGTTAGTACCATAGGCAATATTCATAATAATAAATGTTAAACACCTTTCGTAGCAATCGCTTGCGTGGTCCCTTCTCAGCTCTTTCAGGGTGTTTGCGCGCCCGTTTTTCTCGCTTTCGTTCGTGCTTCTCGCGCTTGCGCTCGTCTTTATCGAGCCTACGCTGCTGCTTCTTATGGTCTTTTGGCGTAAGTTCAACTTTTGGATCCATCAGGGGATTGAGGGCACCGGTAGGGTTCTTTCTCAGCTATTCAAGAATTGTTAATAAGTATTTGCTAATCCGAAAGGGATATTGACCCTTACGTATCTCCTTTGAGCCTTAATATCTCTGCGCTCGTTGAAAAAATCAAACACCTTTGAAAAGCCGCTCTTCGTACCGCCTTCACCCTCGTCGTCGTCGTCGCTAGACGTGTCCTCTAAATCAGGGAAGACCAATTCTGCGGAAGCCGGGAACTCAATCGGACCCGTTATCCCATCATGACTTCGAAATTCACTGCGACTATTAGCCTGGCTACTGGTTCCGGCATTGAGATCTTGCTGTATTAGAGTGTTATTGGATTCCGGATTGTATGCCATGATGAAGCAGTATAGGCCACGCGGTCGGAAAAGCTCGTCGTTCATCTTCAAAAGGAACGCGTTTTGACTATAACATTACGGTAAGCAAATCCGATCTGATAGAACCGCACGGGAATGTCGTTACGTACTTCTTACGACTCCGCAACTCCTGGTATACTCGGACAGCTATTTTAACAGTAGGTCCTAGGGCGGATGGAATGAAACCGGCCATATCTGAAGCGAGGTTGATAGCGCCTACTAACGGAGAAGACGCCGTCGCTTTATCGAGCTCGTCGAGAAAACCCATAAACATAGGCTCGTCAATGCCACAGCCCATTAAATCGGGAGCGTAGGCTCTGATGAACCCGCGGGCACGTTGTCCGGGCCGCCGCTGGGGGATGATAATTGGATAAGGAAGAGAAACCGGCGCAACCGGTAGAGAGGGTCCAGGGTTCCCGATTACGGGCGTGCCGAGGTAATGGTGTTGCTGGCCGCTATTACTGCTATGATGCGCACGTAGCCTCTCTTGAGCATCATCGAGTGCCCACTCCTCTTCCTCGTTATATGGCTGGTAGCTAGCATCTCCCGGTCCTATCAGGTGGTTAATGAGAGTCCTGAAAGCGAAATAGGATTCACTCACTTGGCATTATATTGTGCGTAGTCATGATATCGAGCGCAAATCCGACGTAACTTGCAAAAGTTTCGATTGTGACGATTCAAGGTTATCAAAACCAAGTTCTATGATAGAATCAGCGCTTTGAACGAGGCGAGTCGACCGAGCTAGATATACTACCTAAGGTAGTCTTTCGATTTTTCTTCCCCTCAATCAATCAAAACGGATCTGACGCTGGCTGTTTAGCTACGAAAAGCAACGGCACATGGCCGAATTAAAGACATCGAAAATGAACTTGAAAATATTATCTCAGGTGACTTTAAACCTGAATCTCGTGGAGGCGGGCGAAGGCGCCACAGGCGCCACGTAACGCATGGCCCGTGTATTTGTATTTATTAAACAATGTGAAAATCGAGCAAGCATTATTTTAAAAACGAAAACTTTTTTGTTATAACTTAAAAATTATAACTTTATTACAATTTTAAATTGTTTATTTATATGTAAAAAAATAATATATTTAATTATATTATATATATAATAAAAATTTTTTTTTATAAAATAATAATATATAAAATGGTTATTTTATATATAAAATTAATATTTTTAATATAAAAAAACATTTTTTTATATTTTTTATTATTTCCGGTAATTTTCCCGGAAAATATTTAATAATAAATTATTATTTACGGTAAATTTTTATTTTATAATTTATAATATATGTTTAATTAATTTATTAAACATTTTAAAACTTTTTTATTAAAGTAAAAATAAAATTAATAAAATTTAAAAAAGTTAAAAAAATGTAAAAATAAAAAAATATTAAATAATAAAATAAACAAATATTTATTTTAAATGATTTTAAATTTAATATTTTCGAAACGGGTTTTATTTGTTTATTTTACCATAAACGTTACGTAACGCGTGGTCCGTGTGTTTATACTTATAAATTACGGGTAAAACATTTAAAAATATTTAATTTAAAATTATATAACGTTATAAAGGTTTTTAACAGTTTTATTAATAATGAAAAAATTAAATATTATATTTATAATAATTTAATATATTATAATAACGTACGAAATAATTTTAATTTTAATAATTTAAAGTTAATAATATATTTAATTTATTTTTTAATTTTTTTTATATATTTGTATAATATTGCGTTTTTATATATTAAGTTTTAACGTTTAAAAATTTTTAACGTTTTAAAATAATATATATTTAAATATAACAATTTAATATTTTATAACCACGTATAAAATCTTTTTTTTTTTAATAATTTAAAGTTAATAATATTATTTTTTAAGTTTTTTAATTTTTTTTATATATTTATACGGTTTTATATATTAAACTTTAACGTTTATTACGGTTTTAACGTTTATTACAACCGGTGTTACGGTTAACGCGTTACGATTAATGCGTTATAACCGTTATAATATAACCGTTATAATTATTTTTAACATTTTAAAAAACTTAAAACGCATGGATTTAATCGATAAACTTAATAATAAAATTAATACGATTATATAATTAATTAAACTTATTATAAAAACGCGTTAATATTATTATTTTTAATAATATTATTAATGTTATTATTAATATTATTATTTTAAAATGTTAAATATATGATTTTAATATATAAGGTTTTAAATTTATTTTAAATTATAAATTTAAAATTATTTTAAAAAGTTGTTTTAAAGTTTAATTAATTAAAAAAAAATGTGGTTAAAAAAAATATACTTTTATAAACGATTTTAAATTCATGGTTTAAATTTATTAAAATAAACAAATATATTATATTAATTAATTATAAAAAATAAAATAAATAAATAAATTATATAATATAAAAGTTAAATTAATAACATATATTTAAAAAATACTTTTTAATATTATAATATTAATAAATTAATAATTTTTCCGAAAAAATATTACGTTTAAATTTTTTTAATTACGTAAAAAATACATTTTAAAATATATTTTAAAATATATTTATAATTACGTAAATAATTAATAAATTAATAAATTTTAATAATTATAAATTAAATTAATTATATTTTATATATAATATAATATGTTTATTTATATTATAATAATTTTATATATATTTTTAAATTTTATGTTTAATTATTATAATAATTTATAATTATATAATAAATTATTATATTTATATATATTAATTATATATTTATATATAAATTGTTATTTTTTTATATAAACCGTTATTTTATTTTATTATATAAATTTATATATAAATATATTTATTTTATGTAAATATTTAATTATTATTTTATAAGATTTTATATAAAATTTTAATTAATTTAATATTATAATTTTTATATATAATATTATTTTTAATATGTATTAATTATAATGTTATTATTAATGATATTATTATTAATAATATTATTGTTAATAATATTATTATTAATAATGTTATTATTAATAATATTATTATTAATAATATTATTATTAATAATATTATTATTAATTTATATTATTAATATTATTATTATTATTAATATATATTAATTATATTATTATTAAAAA